GACTAGACAGAGATTACTTTCCAGCCAACTTTAAAAGAAAGAACAGTTTCAATTCATCTATATTTTCGATTTTTTTATTCTTTTTGTTATACAGTTTACTTATACGTTAGTTCCGTGCTAATTAAATTATCGCTATATATTATTAATTTACAGGCCCTCGATACTTTTAATATTTCTTTAACAAACAGTCATAAATCTTTATGATATCATATCACAAATAAAGTTAGTATGCTTAAATTGAATTCATCAGAATTAAATATACTCGTACGGGGGAACAAAGAGAACGCAGATAAAGTTTGCTGGACTTGATATGGCATTACGACAGGCGACAGTAGGACTACTAGTATAACAATAGGCAAGCACCTGTCACAAACAAGAATCTACACGTACGTTGTAGTGTTTGCACCAGATAGAACTTTACAAACAATATAATAATAGATCTAAAAACATCGCAGTACAGTTTTCACAAATAGCCAGTAAAAGTCAATTCACGTTTACATGTATCTGAAAGAGGCATTGATGCAAGATAGTAAAAGGTAGACATCGTCTTCAAATCGCCAACGCAGCAGCTGTGATTTTATTGTATTTTTTTTTTTATCAAAAAGTTAAAGAACGTTTCTAATAATGTTTTTAATTTCCTTGCATATTAAAATGTTATTTTTAATTATTACCAGACTCCTATATTCTCAAATGGATCATTAAAGTATAAGTAACTTTTGATGTTCAAGCCAGATTTTATTGCCCATAATTGTATTGTTGAAAAAGGCTATAGAATAATCTGTGCTTTAGTTTTAAAGATACCAGTAAAAAAACGGAATACTTTCTATAATATTATAGTCCTTAAGAACGACAAGTATGGTTTACATACTTATATAAACAATGTGACTCACCATAAAGTATTCATCTTATTATTTAATAGTATCTATATATATACATATACATACGCCGTGTAGGTCCCGGCATAGAATGGGCCACCCCTTCCTTTCCTGTGAGTGTCGTAAGAGGCGACTAAAAGAACTTACGGTGGAGGGATGGGTAGCAACGTCCCTCTTAAAACATCTGTATAAACCTAACTGCGGTTGCCAACCCGCCTGCCAAGGGTGGCAATTACTTGCAAAACTCCTTTTATAGAGAAGTCTTATATTTAGCAGTGGACAGTTAATGGCTGAAAACAATATATACATTTATAAATACCTACACTAGAACTATATTATTAAAGACTCTTAGAAATTGCCAATAAATTGAGCTTTTTTATCGTGATATTCTAATATTACACGTAAGCATCCAAAGACACAACGTAAAAACCTTAATCCTATATTGATTCAAACCCCCATTTATACAATTTCTCCATAACTCCATTGTATGGACCCCCATTTATACTCGTATACAGAAATATAAATATAATACCAATGTGTAAATATCACAAAAAAGCAATGATCCCAATGCGACATTGGCTCATGTTCAAATCTCAACTCACTTCGTAATACGCTTTATTAAAAAAAATATGTTTGATAAATAACTACGATGGCTGGATCATTGGTCATACTTGTGAACGGGTGCTGCTACTAATAGCTGATAGTAGTTTTTTTTTTTTTTTTCACAGAGTTTGTATTCACATTAATTCATAATTTATAAAATTCAAATTTTTAAGGTAACAGCTAAATTTATTGCCCATTCTTCTTAGCTCCAATTACATACTGAACTGAATTATAAAAAATAACCATTCTAAAATGCTTAAATTTAAGTTTACATGAATAAAATATTCTTTCTTTCATATTTTGTGTAATGAATGATTTTCGTGAACATCTGAAATGTATAAACAGCAAAAAAAAAACCGTTTTTAGAAATTATTATACTTATATGAAACTATATTATCAATATAGTTATAGAATATATATATATATATATATATATATATATATATATATATATATATATATATATATATATATATATATCATAAAAACATAATATATTCATAACACATTGCATTAGAGATAGCGACATAAACGTCTGGCCAATTTTGGCAAACTGACAAACTAATGTTAATATTTAAAGACTTCTAAATAAAAACCCAAAGGGTTAGCGACCTCGAATAAATGTAGCAATTTCGCTACAAGCATAAACTAAATAGGTTATACTTACTGATAGCACCTATAAATCTTCGTAGAAGTTACATTTATATCTAGGGAAACCTACTTTAGTAATACAACTTTGTTAACATTTGGCTTAAATCTACTGTGTATATCTATATACTCCAAGCGCTATAACTGCACGGTTTAATGAAGAATTTTGTCAAATTCATATGACTTTGATAAATCTAGAGGTTTGGATAATTTACATAAGCGTATTTAAGGGGGGAGGAAGTAGGTCGTGTCCACCCCAATCTTGTCTGGTGCCTCACCCACAATCCAAAATCAGGGTGGAGATTTTACTATGCACAAACGTATCTACCATAAGTGTACATAATGTGCGTTTTTGAAAAGACCAGAAGTAATAATAATAATTGTCTACACATCAAAATCACCTTGTGTGAATTTGAATGGATATTTTCTATTACATCGCAAAATTATTTATTATTGTTTTCTATTAATATTAAAAATAAATATCTTCGCTAATTTTAGTTCATCGACTCATGAACTCTCAAACGAACGTTCCCAAACTAACCAAAAAAACGAAAAGGGAATTTCTCAATTCAACTTTATTGTCTCATAAAGTTTCACTATAATTTTCACTATTCTATGTGAATACAAAATGCGTGTTATCTCCTATATACTTAATAGTTTCTGCAGTAAATTTCTCGGTTTCACTGTCCGAGAATCGGATTTAGCTGCGGATCCGCATTATATTTGACCGACAGAAACATGTTGTTTTCGACTCTTTATTTAATTTTTCCGTTAGTTTATCATATAATCTGCGCATTTACCTCGCAAAATTAAGCATTATATACAAATTTTATAATAATAGAAACTTAAAACGATTCTATGAAATTCAGATCTGTACAACTTCGTAATCTGACTAGATAAATAAATATGTACGTACATATAAAAAATTTTTGCTACAATACCCTTTATATTTTAGCCGTTAACTGTCCATTGCTGAACATAAGCCTTCCCATAAGGGGAATTTTGCCAGTAGTTACCACGCTTAGCAAGCGGGTTGGCAACCGCAGTTAGCCTTTTACAGATGTTTTAAGGGAGACGCTGCTATGAATGAAAGATACTTAAAGAGTTAGAGCTTATTTGGTGTATAAGTACAGAATACCTAATAATAATTTATGCATACGGTAAAAATTCTCATCTTTTTTTGTTCATCGAGATCGGCGTATCAATTCAACGACATAGACGTTTTCTATAAAAGTTTAATTCCCATTAACCGCACATTTGGAATTATCATCATCATCATCATCATCATCATCATCATCATCATTTCAGCGATTATCCGTCCACTGCTGTACATAATATATAACATAAGCCTCAACCATAGACTGCCATAAAGAACGGTCCTGAGCCACCTGCATCCACTGACTCCCTGCAACGCATTTTAGGTCGTCACCCCATCTAGTAGGGGGTCGTCCAACACTGCGTTTACCCGTACATAGTCGCCACTCAAGAATCTTTCTTCCCCATCGGTTGTCGGAATTGAAAATTATATTTGGAAATATAAATTAAAAAAAAATTAATTGAAATATTTTACATGAAACTCACCAATACTTATCTACTAGTAAATCCAAAAATTTACACTAACATAAAAACTTATAATTAGCTTTAAAAGAAAATTGTTTTATCAACTTTCCTTTACTGTAAATTCAAGCGAACCGTTTAAATGACTAGTATAAATCTAAAACCTGTCTGTGTTCTAGTCTTACTACGCTATTAGAGGTGTACTAAGAATCTATGTAATTATTATGGCGCCTTCATAATTAACTCAATTATAGGATACAGTATACAATTTAATATGGAAATGAAAAGTTATAATTTTTAATAATAAAACATTGTAACTATTCAATTTTACACAGAACAAATATACGTACATACAGACAAATAGATAAACAAATGGAAAAAAAATATTATTACAAGGCTTATTGTACATATTGTCTACACTTAAGTAAAGTCACGGCAAAAAGGTCATACTACGACGGAAATACGTATAAAAGTTTTTTAAAAATTTTATTTTACAATTATTCAGGTAAATCAATTTTATCCCCTTCAAAAAATAATACTTGTGCCAACGCCGTTTACAAGGCTCCTTGAAAGTCCTCTGGTTGTAGGTTTCTATGCCCCGTCGTAGCTTTTTTTATCTCATTTATGTCCCCCAAATGCCGCCCCCGAAGTACCAATTTGGTTTTTGGGAACAAGAAGAAGTCACACGGGGCCAAATCCGGCGAATAGGGGGTGTTCGGTCACCGTAATGGAATTTTTACTCAAAAACTCACGGAACGATCTTGGCGCAAATTTTTTTCATTTGAAGTTCGTTTCTTAGAATTTCGTGGACCACGGTTTTGCCCAAATTAAGATCTTAAGCCACCTGTCTGACCGTTAAACGACGGTCCCCATTAACACAAGTTCGAATTCTTTCCACGTTTTCGTCGTAATGTGAAGTGGAAGGACGTCCTGAACGTGGGTCATCTTGAACTCTGAATCTTTTTAGCCACTTGTGGACGGTTGGTTCCTTCACAGCATCATCCCCATAAACTGTTCTGAGATCGGCAAAAATTTCACGGCCATTCTTGCCGAGTTTCGAGAGAAACTTGATTACGACGCGCTGCTCTTCAACGGAAGCAGGCTCCATGCCGACGGGGTTTCGTTAAGAGGTAACTTCACAGATGGCGTGACAAGCCAGTTCGCACCGCACGGCGGTCAGACCAGAACTGAAGCATTGTTAGGGACATAAGGAAGGGGTCCTGCGCTTACCTGGCCTCCCCACTCCTCTTTCTCGCATTCCAGAACACTTTTATACGAACTTTCCGGACAGACCTCGTATATGAATAAACTACTCACCATTCCCAAAGGTGGACGAGGCAATCGAACACAACACAGCCATGGTCTGTGCTGATGCACGACGCCGCCGGTGCCGCAGTCATCTTGTCACCACAATCACCGATTCCAAACTCTTCACCTTCAATATAATTTCACTTCCATTCAACAAAGTTATTCAACACTGTTTTCTACGCAATCAGTACTTTATGACGTCGCCTAAGCAATTTTGCGAAGGTAATGTCTGGAAAGAGAAAAGTGCCAATTAGAAATTTGATAGGGTTTGTAACGTGAGCGTTGAACAGTGTGATGAAAATAAGATGAAAGTGAAATTATGGGTGTCCGTATTGTGACAATAAGTATACATATGTTACAATACTACATAATGTAGACTATGAAATTTATTTGGTCATTCACACGTCCGGCTGCCGGCTGACACTGAACTGTCTTCGACATTGTAATTTTTGCCTACCTACTTTTCATTGCAGAGAAACTAGCAATTTATTTAACATTGTGGTCTTATTATTTTGCTATAGAGAAATTTAAAATATTATTATGATAATAATAGAAATAAAATGTCATTTTTGTAAAACTGTAACACAATTATGGACGTTCTTGCTTTGACTTAAAACTGTTTATACGAATACCTTTAAAAACTAATAAATTGTATTGTCTTCTACTACTACGTACTCGTATACTATGTGCATGCAATTTTTAAATACAATTACTACTTAGCTGTACTTACTGTTTATATATATTTTGAAATATAATAATATAATAAATGCGAAAGTTTGTAACGATAAATGGATGGATGTTTGTTACTCTTTCACACAAAAACTACTTAACGGATTTGAATGAAAATTGGTACACGAGTAGGTTATGTCTTAACTTAACATAGAAAATATGTAAAGTGCCGTGGGACACAACTAGTATTACATAATAGACAAAATAAAATCATTTATCTCTGTATGCATGCTAGATTATACTTATATTTTTACATATAAAAATTAAAGACAATTTCGAACTCTTTGAGAGTACTATTGTAATTTCATAAAAATGTGGAATAATATTACCTATTATATCATATGCAACGATCTCTTTTAGCAACATAATGTATGAATTATCATTCGTTTAAATATAATTTAATTGTTTTATCTATACTAATAATATTAAGTATAAAAAGTTATAGCCGTAAATTTATATATTACTATCGGCCCGTCCCGGCTTCGCACGGGTGGACATTTTTACAACATTTTACATTTTTATCCGATCCTACCTAATTAAATTGACTGAGTTTTTATTATATTTTTTTTATTTAAATTTATTTGGATAAGGATTTAAATAGAAGTATGAATAACATGGTGTAATTTTGGTGGGTATTTCTATTAACTTTTAAAATGTAAAAAGTGGTTATTGTGACATAACGATAATAATTGGACATATAGTATCGTGAAGTTCTTTATAGTTATTGATATTTTCTTCAATATTGTAGAACATACTTTTGTTCTATCACCAATAGTTTCCGCAGCGCACGCGACGCAAGATATTTTATAGCATTTTTCACCTTGAGTTACGTTACTAAAATTTTAATAAGGATCCCTAATCTTTTCTAGCAATAAATAGCCTATGTTACTCATGGTGAATGTAGCTTTCTAATAATGAAAGAATTTTTGAAATCAGCGAGGTAGTTTTTGAGTTTATTCATTACAAACATACATAAACACAAAAATACAAATCTTTCCTCTTTATAATATTAGTGTAGATATATGTCTTTACTTCTTTGACATTCTAAATTACCTTTTAAAGAAATAGCAGCTACATTATCTCTGAATTAATAGAAGCAACAATTTCTTTTCACTTATAATATCTATATTGAAATGACGATTTTGTTATATCAATCCTCAGGTAGATTATAAAGGAAAATATTTCATATTGTTGGTAACCTTATTCGTACCTTTTAAGAAGAAACGCTTTCGATAATAAATAAAGTAATATCATTATTTAAACAGTATAATTATTATTCCTGAATGTTCACAACATAATAAATAACTCGATATCTAATCCACTATCATATGTGTAATAATATAAAATGTATAATTAAAAATAATTTCTTAGCGAATTATGTTTTATTTGCATACGTAATTTGATATCACATTCTTATGAGAGTAGTTGAGACCGGATGTAATATTTACCTTAACCACAGAAATCATCGAGAAGTAAATATTTGCGGTAATCTGATATTATAACGGTAGACGACAATTTTCCTATTATTGCCACTGTCGCAGTTTGAGATAATTTTCTTTAATACTAATTAACATACCTCCGTTAATATCATAAAACCTGTTTTTCTATATTTTTCTTAGTAGTATTCTTAGATAAACATCTTTGCAAATTCGTAAATATTCTTATAATATTAATGATTATAAGTATTTATAATATCGTTCGCAACCAATTCAAATGAATTGCCCGAGCATGCTTATGTGTATATTTCGCTATCAACTAATAGGTGCATAGCGTCTTATCTAGATCAAATTATCAATTTACGAAGGATAAACACGCATATAATACTTATTAGAAAAATTATAATTGTATCTTGTATAAGACAATCAAATGCATAATATAGTTTCTCGTTTCTGTAGGTATCTACCCTATATTAGGTACGTATCTAAAATCCCATTCACAAATAAAAATTATACGATAATTTAATAACAATCCCGCGAGCCATTTCCAAGTCCTTCGAAGTCAAACTTTGTATACCAATTTTATTTCTATTCCCGAACGTAATCAAGAGCAACATCTAATTAATCTCAGTATCTTTTGTTTAGGTTAGAGCGTTGTCTGCCACTTTGTCTGCATAACCGAGATATTAAATGTCAGAGTTAAAAATCATAGAAACGATCAAAATGTGGCTACCAAAAATTAATTTATATTAATGTAGTCTTAGGGTTTCCGTGGTATTAAATGGTACCCCTGCATTAGGTAATCATAAACCCGCTTATGGCAATGCATGTGCATACGTGACCCAACGCCATAACCTTTATTATTATGCATCTTATAAAGAATTTACCTATTGATCCATGGTCTAGTAGTAAATCTAAGATAAAAGTAAAAATTTTTGTAATAGCAATTAGACAATAAGTATTTCATTTTATTTTAGCAAGAAACAAATTAATCAATGGTAAATAACCTCTGGCTATCCCATTAAGGATTATAAGCATAAACATGTTTATTTTTTATTAAATTTTCACAAATTTAATCTATCAGAAAGTAAATTACTGTTTATGAATATTATACGAGTAAGATTAAATGGAGAAACCGACCAATCTTATATATTACCAAATAATCATATCATTATTATCATTTAAAAAGTTATCGAAGCTTTTTTTTATACAACTTAGAATGACAAACAAGCTGACGGCCCACCTGATGGAAAGTGGTAACCGTCGCCTATAGACATGAGTAGTACCATGGACATAACAGAGTATACTGTTTCGCCCATGATACCCCCTATGTGTTGCCATTCCTGAGGACTCAGGTGTTATTCCTCTATACCCTGTAAATTCACGCCATATCCCACCCTTCAAACCGAAACACAGTCAATCAAACACAACTGCTTTACGGTTGAAACACGAATGAGACAGAGGTACCCAAGCAAACGACTTTTGTACAAAGTCTCCCTCTGGTAAATTAGCTTCCAGTAAATTCGTTATATAGACATATTATGAAAGTTTTCTATACTTATGTTTATAACCTCATGTTAGCCATGTATTTGGGTCACCGTTCGTTAAACATGCAACGAATGTGGCAAACCTTATTAGATGAAAGTTTATACTTGAGTAATTTTTTAACTTTAAATATTTAAAAAATCAGCATCATAAATTAGAAGACTTTAAATAAAACTTTAATTTAACCCTGTTGGGGTATCTTTTTAGCCTTGTAACATATTATAACCTATTATTATAATAATTAGCTTAATATACTAATGACGATTTCAATATAATCAGTCAGCCATTTTACAACAAATACAAACATATACTCGTAAATTAATTTCAAAAATTTAAGATTGTGTTTCACAAAGAACATCGACGTCAATTGTGGCAAAACTAATTATTATGTTTATTATACACTACTTAATGGATTTTAATAGAAATTCTATTAAAATTATAGTAGGTAGGTAGGTAGGTAGGTAGTATAATTATATCGTTTCAAATAAAAAATAATAATTTTCCTAATCGGTTTATAACTGACGGAATAATTAGGTAACAAACACAAAATTACAACCGAAGCTTTTTGAAGTCGGTTGAGAACCGATTTATTATATTAAGTCCCATGCATCCATAAGCTATATTTATATAAATCCTTACTTATTATACATATAAATGTGAAAGTGAGTTTATTCATTTGTATGATACCTCTTAACGTTGGTTACGTAGCGAATATTTGGGACAGAAAAGGATCTTTTATCCCGGTCAATCCATATATCGCGGTAACGCGCGTAAACCCTAATATCTAATATATAGCTATGACTTCGTTATGATTTTATTGTAATAACGTAAATATATTGCCGGGAACAGGTTTTAACTCTTAAGTTTCATATAAATAAAAAATCATAGTCCATGTAATTTGAATGTTAGTTGGCAGCATTAAATGATATTATTGGACAGTCACGTTCCCGTGTAAGAAGACAATAACGGTGTAATGGTCAATTGTCAGAACAGTCGTTGTACCGGTTGTCGGTTGTCATTTAGCGACCCGCTCCATTTCACTAACCACGAACACGCCCATCATCTGGTTTTGCGATATCTTACGGTCAATACTTATGTAATTCGTGATGTTGGTGAAAAGACTTTTCTAGCAATTTTTTGCTTTTGTTTGTGTTGCATGTACCGAGGAACTCGAAAATAATTATTCAAAATAAATATCTAACTCAGTCAGCTTAGCTTTCAATATGTATTTTATGAAAGAAATATTTTGGTACTTATACTCACAAGCAGCTAATTGTTAGAACGGTCTCAATATTAATTCTGCTGGTTGAGTTTCGATCTAATTGTATTGATAAAAGAAAGATATCACATCGAAATGGCCTCAAAATGGCATTACCTTGCATTACCTTTGACGCCTGTTCGATATAACTTTAATTTAATCCCAAATCTATTCCATTCCTCAAATATTGGTATATATAGTTAAAAGCCCTTAATTCTTAACATGTCCCTGCACAATTTTGCAAACCTCGACCATGAAAAGTTGATGTTAATGGAGTCTTAAGATCTCTAACAAGTCTTCCGAAGTATATCTACATCAACAATGGAAGTCGTCTGACAATCCAAAAGTCCTATATCTCTCACTATCATTTGTTTTGGTTGACATCTAAAAAATCGGGCAGTATGGCATTATTTGTCTGTGTAATCTATTATTTTAATTTTTAATTCTGCTAATCTAATGTAATCTTTTACATAAAACAATAAAGAATACCTATAACTAAAAAACATACCTATGAGTACATTGGCGCTACAGCATATAACTCTATGTATGCATATTAAAATTGGTAAATTTGTTTATGTTAATTTCTTACTGACACATGCGTGTCTATGAGGCTGAAAATGTATAATCATAAATTTTAAGGACACACATAATATATTTTTTATTCCTGCTTTATGTTTTATGTAAAGGTATGTAGCAATTATCGTTGTTCTGTTAAATTTTGGTATGTCATAAACACAATTTATAAACACTTAGAATTCCTGGAATTAATTTAGATTGAACTCTCAACGAAAATTGGGCAGAAGCAAAAGGAATAGTCGAAAATGTCTTTAACTAATTTTAATTCGAAATTATCTTAAACCTATTCTTTATTTTAATGATATTGTGTTGCTGATTATACTGACTTTAAAGTGCCAATTACTTGTTGCTTTAAAACACTTTTAAATTACGTATGTGATACAGTATATGCATGAAGAAAGTACAAACATATGGAGGTATTTGCGCTTCCCTTCATTATCAATTCAGTTCGTGACCAGTAAGTAAGAGCAATTACGTCTGGTACAGCCACAGCCGTACCTACTACCAGATGATTGGGGCGTGTACCACCGAATGCCTCAGTGAAAGTGTCTCTGGCGAACAGTTAACGGTTCTTTAGGTAGAGATACATGCCGTAAACAGTAAATATTATAATATCAATGTTTAATATTTATATAAGACTTATGATAATTTTAAAAATATTGAAGAATCTGAGAAAGATAATAACCATTCTATAGTGGACCTTTTATTATAAGATGAGAAACAAAACAATACGTTCAAAAGTTTAACAGGATCAACTGAACGTTACTAATCACTTTATTTATGAATTAGGCTTATACCTATATCGCTAACTATATGACAATGAATAAAAAATAAATAATTTATAAATCCAGTAAAAATAACTACATTTAATCTTTTTTTATTTATTCATTTGACCAGTGAAATAATCCAATCGTCGTAGCTGTATTTTGCGTTGCAAATTAATTTAGAACGGTAATCACGTAATTACGGAAAATGAAAATGACTGTGTAATTAGTGATCGGGAACCCTTCACCGGTGATTCATAGTAGCTGTTGAAACAGACTCCATAATATTACGGAGCTTTCCTCGTCACACTACTTGAGTTATATCGGCTTGTTGTCGTCGGCAAACAGCTTTCCACTATGTAAAGGGCCAGCCATAAAACAAGATATTCGAGTGTCCAAGTTCCTATTATGATAGTCATAAAGACCAGAATTGTACAAACAGACCATACGCGATCCAAGCCACTCCATCATTAAAGTTCCCGCTTACATACTTTCGACAGCTCATCATGTTTATGATACAGCCACTTTCATATAAAGACGATATAACTATATTATGAAACTCGAAATAATATTAAAAAACATTTTATTTATTTTTTATAATAATAGAGAACAAAGGCTTTAAAGGCATGAAGAGGCCTATCTCCACAATTTTTTAGCTGTAGTCGTATCATTGAACAACAAGCGTTTCTATTATTAATATAAAACTTATTTGTTAATTTTCCCTTAAAAAGTGGTCTTGATTTTACTTGCTTAAGTAGGCGGCAAGTTTTTCCCTCTATACAGTATTTAGCTGTATATATTATTTTTAAGCCTCTAACAGAATAAAATATTCTTAAAAAGTTTTATTACAGTCTAGCTTTTCAGTGGGTCAATATTACATTATTATTAAGTACTAACTAATGGATGTAATACATTTTATGGTACCATTATTATCCTACTAAGTATTATTGTTAATATGAAATATGGTAACGGATAGAACATATCCTACATTAACTCATATGAAACCTTTTACTTAAATTGAAGCGGCCAAAATAGAGGAATACAACTAGTGGTAACTGACTGTAATTATATAAATACCGATTGATATTAATCATTTCGTCTTGAAAAACAATACTTTCAAATGTTTAATTCAAAAATTTTATCCTGGTAGTGAACGCTTTTGGATTTGTTAGTACTTTTAATACTCTAAGCAAATGGTGAGTGCATAGTCAATGATTGAGGTATGCTGGATCTATCGTACCCCTGACGATAGTTTGAATCGTCAACATATACATAGGTACGAGTACATAAATTTATGTTTATAATCTTTTGGAGGAAACAATAAAGAATATTTCTCTATCTATTTACATGTATATCAACAGGTATCTATATCACTTGTTAATCCACAAAAAACCAACTTCAAATGTGGCTAAACCAGTTACTTTGCTTTAAAAACTGAACTACTGAACCGATATTAATTATTCTTCTGATAAAATTTCTATAAAAAAAACCTGATAGTAATATCAGGTTGTTCAGACAATTTCCCAAATCGGTTTACAACGTAGTTGTGAGATAATGAATATAAAAAAAATTACAAGCAACTTGAGAACCTCCTCCTTTAACGTTTCATTGTTAAAGAGGATGTCTATTTTTAAACGGTTTTTCTACAATAACAACAACAAGAGCCCATAATTCATACAATAATCACTTATACAAACAAAATCATTTACATTGTTGTCACCACCTCTCCAACATTACCTCTTTAGGTGAGATTCGATATAGAAACTCTTTTTTTTTTTATTACAATGCAAAAGTTTGAAGATGTGAAGAATTGTTTTTAGCGGATACACTTTGCACCATGCCATAAGAAGAGAAAAAAAAAAGATGAAAAATTCTATTAAAACAATCATTACGATTCCAGACAAATTATCATATTGAAGACTAGGCAGCATGGTCTCCGACCTTAGCCTTTTCCACGACGGAACAAACGTTTAGTACGTTTGTTCCGACGGTTGTACGGAACAAACGTACTAAAAAACAATCATTACGTGATTACATGCAGTCAGTTTTAGTATATGGCTACGAAAACAGGAATTAAGTGTTTTATACAAACACTATCTACTGAAAGTCAATATGTATACTTATTATAATGTTATCATTAAAAGATATAATATGATTATACATAGTTATGTTGCAATAATTAAGTAAAGTAATAATATATAAAAAAAAATTGATTGCACTATATAAAGGTTATATTGCGAAACAGATCAATCTATCTATATAGTCTATACATAAATTATATCTATAGATTGACCTGATTAGCAATAAAGTGATAGCATAAAAAAAATCTATGTTTCCACCAACAACACAAATTCTAAGACTAATCAGCACATTCAAAGCTTTACTCTTGATGATGATTAATAATAACAAGCTCACTATACCTATTTTAATTACACTAAACATATTGAAAAATTTAGTATGTAGATGAACTCTAGAGGTGCCGGTAACTGGGTCATCTACAACGTGCCAATAATTATTACACTCACCTCACAAAACGATTTTGCGTCGCACTTGTTTTTTTTTTTTCTATATAAATACGTATACTTCTATAATACCACTAGGTAAATACAACAACACTAGATGAATAGATTAATCGGATAGATAAGTGATAACAAATAGGTAATAGAATAATAAGGTACAATTGTTGTTTTTAGATGAGTAAAAGCATTGTATCGATTGAGCGGCGCGCGGCCGCGCGCTCTACTACGGAATGAGCGCCACCGCCGCCACCCCATGTGATGTGCGCGCGTTTTCCACGTTTTCCCGCCACCAGCTAAGGGGTGGTTCCGAAACTTATTCGGACTCCTATAGCGCTGCGCATTTCTCATTTTGCTTACAATTAATTTAATTACTTTATTTTCTTAAGGCGAGAGTTGTTATTAGACTTTTTAGAGGAAAGCAAAAGAAGAGCAAGCGAAGTTTACTATAATGCTTCAATTTTATTAATCAAGCCTTTTAGTTATTTAATATCACATAGGTAACAATTAATCTTATGCCTTAAAGTACAAAGCATATACGCAGTAACAAAATTGTCATATAGACTTCGACAATAACAGTAGAGAGCCTATTCTGGAAATTTTACTAGAACTCATTCAACAGCGTATGCAGGAATAATTTAGCTGCCATCTTCTGTACAACAGCAGTGTACTAACAAATAAGCTTAATTTAAAATCATGTCACTATAGTATTTTGTTACGACTTGGTTTTTTCTTACATTCGTATACCTAATGTGCTTTCACTATGCTTTTCCAATAATCTTTGTCGATATCCTGAAAATTGAAATTTGTCTGCTTATTTCATTCCAATATGGTTCATACGAATAATTACTGGGTATTAGAAAAATAGGATATAATTACTAGAACTAACTATTGAATTTAAGATAAAAAACGAAGTTTTTTTTATTTTTATTTTAAAAACTTTCCAACAGTAGAACTGCCGTGATCAGGCCAAAGATAAACAGAGGGGTCGAGCGCCACAGGGTTGGGGTTGGTTAGGGTAAGCCACCCTCCCTCTCAGTCCGAATGCCACAACCCCCGCCGCAACGCTATCGTCACGGAAAACTATATTTTCATAACCTGACGCGATGCACTAACCTCTCGTTACGAGTACACCCTTAGCCGTTAAGTGAAGCGACGTAATTGCAATCTAAATTTACTTTAAGAAATTTCATTCCATTAGAAATTGAATTATTTTCATAATAAATTCGAAACATATAGTTTTAAAATATCTATACAAAGTATGATATGTCAGAATCTGGTCATTAGATGTGTTGACAATTTAAAATTAAAACGTTTTCAAAACGGTTACGTAATTGTTTTAACTCGACCCTTGGGCAATGACGTATTTTTTAAATCGTTTAACATCGTTTTGAAATTTCGTCAAACAAAACAACGATACATATAGCGAAATATATATGTACATGTCAAAGTGACATGACTTTATTAAATAAATAAATAAAAAATAAGTTAAAATGAGCTTAGCCAGGCCCAAAGATTTGCTGTCTAAAAAATTAAACTTGCAGCTGTTTTTAGCAAATCAAACACTAACACTGACTTTTGTTTTTGAATAAATGTTTATTTAATTAAAAATTTTGTCATTTCTCTAAAATCTATTTAGTTTATTCACTTATGGTAATTAGTAAGTACTTCGTTAATCAACACCACGTTAATCGAACCCACTAACCGCGCCTCGACACTTTGTTTGAGCAACCTTTAAACTTATAGAAAGAATTTTTTTAAACTACAAGGCGTTTTAATATAAGTAATCCTTTAACATTCTAGCTGGATTTCTTATCTTCAAGACAACAATTTTAAAGTTTTACGTTGCTCATTATTATGTACTAATAATTTTTTTCTAAATTTCTAAGCAATTTTTTTTTTATTTCACATAAACACAACACGATTTTTATATGAAAATAGATTATAATAAACTTAATATATTTGTAATAAGATAATAAAAAATAATCATAAGTTTCTAAAAATAATAGAAATAATATATAAAGTTGTATAAGTTCCATTAAACAACACAATGCCTGTAACCTAAACTTGATAACATTTTGTAATAGTCCTCTTAGAGCACTAACTACCTATATCTTAGCAAATCAGTGCTCAATTATAATTATCATCACATAATAGGAAAGCAAACTGTATGTAAATCTATTTAGTCCCCGAACGACAATAAATAATTTCGAGAGTAAGTTCGAGACTTGTGTTATGGGATACTAACTCAACGATACCATATTTATAATAGATACATATATAGATAAACATCCAAGACCCAGGCCAATCAGGAAAAGATCGTTTTCCATCATGACCTGGCCGGGGATCGAACCCGGGGCCTCCACGTCGCAGGCAAGTGTGTTGACCGCTGCGCCACGGAGGACGACAATAACTCATGTCTTCAATCTTTATAAATGAAACACGAAATATCAAAAATATCCAAAAAAAAATTTTTTATGCATTATAATGGAATGGTAACCCCGCCTGCGCTAACGGTATACGCTGGCGGGGCACCAGTGAATGATGATATGTGAGAATGAAATCTCAAAAATGATCAATAAGTATCCTACCATCAGATAAATTACCATATATTTTTTTATTTTTATTTAATTGAGTAACTTTATTGGCCAATTGAAAATATACCGCAAAAGGTGGCCTTAATGCTAATAGCATTCTCCACCAGCCAACCTTTGGAATAAACAGTAACTCACAATCGCGGTACAAATTAGTACTCTAAACTACTACTTTATTACTATTATTATCCAATATCTCTGTTCCTACCTAACCTCTTGTGGCGGAGGAAATGGGATTTTTAGTAATGTGATCTAGAGCCCCATTACTAGCAATATTAACCTACCAAATTAACCTCCACTCAGACCCTCCTATCGTGATTAATGTTTGTAAAATTCGTCGGGGATATCATAACATTTTCTACCATTCAAAATTAATATTTAATTTTAGATCCAAAAGAATACATTGAAAATACTATTGAGAAATAATATAATAATAGTAACAATAATTTATTTAACAAAAATATACAGATGCAATTACAAAATACATATACATTACATATTGATACACACTAAGTGTCTCTGGCCTCCATGCTAGCAAAATCCTGAGTTTTTTTTTAAATGGATGATAATGGAATGGTAACCCCACCCGCGCTATCGGTATATACGGGCGGGGCACTAGTGAAGAATAATAGGTGAGGATAGGTGATGATAGGTCAGTTAGCCCATCGTGACGAATTCAAAAAGAATTGTTCCCGATGGTTTCCAGGGGAGACCACGTGAAGGTCGACCTAATAAGGTATATTGCTAGCAATGGGGCTGTCAAACTCCATTGCTAACAATCCTTTTCCCCCTGAAAATCCTGTGTTATGAAGGTCAGGCTACCGTACTTTACATTAAATTTCTTATATAAATTTAAGGAATTATAGAAAATATACTAATTAAGGTTAAACTAGAAATGATAAATATTATTTAAAAATATAGATGACAATAATAATAGGTATAAATAACAATAATATTAGTTTAAATTAATTATTTTTCTGTCCTCTTTTATATGAACTAAACCATCTATCTATGAGTGTATGGGCTACTTTTTTTAATGAGTGATAAGGTATGGTAACCCCACCCGCGCTAACGGTATACGTTGGCGGCGCACCAGTGAGGGATGATAGGTAAGGATGAAGCAAGTCAGTTGGCCCATCATACGAATTCTACAAGAATTAACCACGGTAGTTTCCAGAGGAAACCACATGGAGGTTGACCTGATACCTTATTAGGTTGCCCTATCATATTACTAGGTATTATATTATCTGTGTTACTAATAATGTGGAAATTAGATCCTATCACTAACAAGCCCTTCCCGCTCATAATATATATTATTACACTGTGATAACGTTATCAATTATAGGACAATGATGATACTATTTTTCTCTTTTAATTGCAATGCAATGAATTATTTACATGACCGTATACGGAGTTCAGGATATAGTTTGACGTTTGCAAACGTGTAAATCTGACCTGCTTTAGTGTTTTGAACGTTGCATCATTTGAAGTTTGTATTTCATTAATTCAAGGCGAAAAAAAGGCGGGAAACTCGAATAAGAACAAGCGGGTTTTTTAATTTTTATTAATTTATTAAAACTATCTCTATCAATTCTTATTATTGAATAAAATATTATATTTTCACTAAATTCAGCGACAGTAATATAATTAGCATTCATGGGGAAGCGCAGTTGTAGAAAAAGGAAAAAAAAAGATGACGATTCAGGTGATGTAGACCATGAACCTTGTAATGACAAGGATATATATTCGGAAGATACTTCTACTGACTCAGAATCTGAAATTGATAAGGCCGATAAGTATAAACCTTACTACGTCACAGATTATATTAGAAGATATCCCGAGGAATCCCCTGGGACAGAATTTGTTGTCTTTGTAGAATCCTCAGATAGTCAGAAAACCATTGGATCCAGAGACTTGCTCTCACTCTCCTCCTGTTTAAAACGATTTAATAAAGGGGTAACTTATCTTAGATCTATAAATAAATTCAAAATCGGAGTATACTTTCAAAAGCCAGACTTAGCCAATGCTTTTTTAAATAATAAAACTTTTTTAAATGACTACCATTTTAAGGCCAGTATTCCTGCTTCTTCAACAGAAGTTACAGGCGTTATTAGAAATGTACCTACAAATATATCTAATAAAAAAATATATACTATGATATCGAGTTCTAAGAAAATTATTGCTATTAAAAGAATTTTAAGAAAAAATACCTTGACTCATGGATATGTGTTACAGCCAACTCTAACCGTGACAATTACTTTTGCTGCATCTGTATTACCTGAATATCTGGATATTGGAGGTTGGCGCCACAATGTCACTCCATATATACCACCAGTTAAACAATGCTACCGGTGCTTGAGGTATGGACATTTAGCTAAATTCTGTAAGAATTCTGAGCGTTGCAGCATCTGCAAAGGTGAGCATAATTATAAAACTTGTACAACTGGAATGGAAAACGCTATTTGTGTACACTGCAATGGAAATCACACAAGTGTATCACCGCAATGCCCTGTTAAACAAAAGAAAATTGCTGAAAATAGATCTAAATTCAGACCTGCTTCTTTTGGAGATATACTTAGCACTGAAATATTTCCTAAACTGGGTAACAAACCTAAAAAAAATGTAGACCTAATTTCAATTCTAAATTCTGATAAAAAGAGTTTATCACTTTTAATAGAAAGCATAATCAAACTTATTTCACTACATAACACAAAGAACACATCTATTAATACTAAAAGTGTTTTGAATGTGTTATATGATACTTTTGGTAATAGACCTATTTCACAAAATTCAATCGAGACCAATTAACTATCATACAGTGGAACGCTCAGAGCCTACTGAGCAATCAACATATTTTTACACAATTTTTAAATGAACATCATATTCACATTGCTCTCATCTCAGAAACTTGGCTAAAACCACATTACAAATTAAAAATTAAAGATTATTGTATAGAACGAAATGATTGTGGTAATAACCACAATGGAGTAGCGATTATTATACATAATAGTATTAGATATAAAAAACTTCACTCTTTTTTCGACAATTCTTTGCAAACTATAGCTATTAGTATTGAAGTTAATAATTCTTGGTATTCAGTTGCCAGTATTTACTGTCCTACCAATAGTACACCTAGTTTTACTAAAGCCAAATTTAAGTTCTTTTTGGAGTCTCTTCCTAAACCCACTATCATATCTGGAGATTTAAATGCACATCATACTATGTGGGGTTGTACCTCCACTAATACAAGAGGTAAAGACATTCTTGATTGTTTAGATGAATGTAATTTGGTACTATTAAATGATAAGCAAGTTACTACTGTTGGCTCTCATATTTGGAGACCCAATGGCCTTGATTTAACTATGGTATCCCCATCCATATCATTAAAATGCGAGTGGTCGGTTCATGATGATCCGTTAGGAAGTTATCACCTGCCGACTTTTACTAAAATAAACACAAAGAACTCTTCATCAACTCCGTCAGGTGAACAACATGCTCCTATAGATGAAGTTAATAAACTTTTGTTAAATCGTATAAACCTACGTCTCGTTAATTGGGATCTTTATTCTGAAACTGTTAATCGATTACTTTTGGATTTCGAGTATGATGTCAATGAACCCTTAAACAATTACAATAGGTTCTGTAAAATTATTTTGACATCTGTGGAACGTTCCGTTCCACGTAGGAACTTATCAAATAGCGGTGCAAATACTTCAAAGAGGCACAAACATATTGCAGTACCTTGGTGGAATAACAGGTGTGCGACAGCTGTCAATGATAGTAAAGCGGCTTACCTTAGGTTTAAACAAAATCCAACTCTCGATAATTACATAAATTTTAAAAGAGTTCAAGCTGTTAAAAAGTTAGTAATTAAGCAAGTAAGACAACAGGGGTGGCAGGAATTTTGTTCCAAATTTAATAGATTAACACCAATTTCCACTGTTTGGCAAAATATGAGAAAACTAAATTCAAAACATCGTCAAAATCATTTTAAAGATATATCATGGGTCAATGATTTTTTACGCAAATATACTCCTGATTTTGTACACTCACCTTTTGATGACAAACAGTTTAATTCTGTTAATTCATGCCCAAAATTTCTCACTGACCCATTCTCAATTGATGAAATATCCAGTGCAGTAAAATCTAGAAAAGATACAGCTAGTGGCCTTGATCGCTTAACATACAATATGTTTCGATTGCTGAATAAAATAAACCTTACTAAACTCTTACAAATTTTTAACGATTTATGGAAGGACTGTATTATCCCACCAGAATGGAAAATGGATTGTTTGATTCCAGTAATTAAACCCGGTAAAGATCCTACAAATTTCGACTCCTATAGACCTATAACATTGACGTCCTGTGCAGGCAAATTATTCGAACAATTAATTAAACAGCGTTTAGAGTTCTTTATTGAAAGTAATAGTATATTACCATCGAATCAATTTGGTTTTCGCCGTGGATATTCAGCGCGCGAAAGTTTAGCGAACTTCTATGTCGACCTTAGTACTGCTTTGAATAACGATGAATATGTTCTATCTGTTTTTTTAGATGTCGTAGGAGCTTTTAACAATGTAAATTTAACAGTTCTATCTTCGATTCTATCCTCATTTCTTCCAATGAAACTTATCGAATGGATTTATAATTTTCTTAGTAATAGAGAAGTGTATGTTAAAGTAAATAGTAAATTAATAGGACCTAGGTTAAGCTCTAAAGGAGTATGTCAAGGTGGTATTCTAAGCCCGCTACTATATATTTTATATATCTATAAACTTAATTCAATTTTAGGAAACAGTGTGAACAACTTGCAATTTGCCGATGATTTATTAATTTATATAAAAGGAAAGAATATTATTGATATGCAATTAGTGTTAAATGAGTCATTAAAAAGACTTGAGAAATATTTTTATCTTCTTTCCCTCGATATTAGTTTAACCAAAAGTAAAGTAGTTGTTTTTCATCAAGTTCATAAATATGTTCCATTAATGAATATTATATATAATAATCAAACTCTTCCAACAGACTGTAGCGTTAAATTTCTGGGGGTAATTTTTCATCAAAATTTAAAATGGGATCTATACGTTGATTGCTTAGTAGATCGTGCTTTAAGAGCCACTAATATAATAAGATCTGTAATTGGTCGTAACTGGGGAGCTGATCCTAAAATTATCCTTTTACTTTACAAATCTCTTGTTAGAAGTAATTTTGATTACGCTTTCTTTTGTTATGCCTCAGAACATAAATTAGTAGAAAAACTCGAAAAAATTCAAAATATGAATTTAAGACTTATTTTAGGTGCTATGTATACTTCTCCAATTATCTCAATGCAAGTAGAATGTAATTTGCCTCCTATCCTTCTTCGTTTCGAATACCTAAAACTCAAATTTCTCTTCAAAGTTTTTTCAGTTTCCAATAACCCACTCATACTCAAATTATTAAATTGCCCCATTTCTATGTTTTTGAATAAAACTATTGTCAATGATTTGAATTTACGAGATGAATATAACATCTATAGTAGTAAGATACTTCCTTGTTATAATGGCCTTTATGAGAGTAAGTTCTGTAAGATCAAAATTGTTATACGTAAAGACATAAAAGAAAAGCACGATATGTATGAGACTTTATCAGAATTTATTGACTACAGGCAGATATATACAGATGGTTCCAAAAATGCACTTAGCACTTCAGTGGCTTTTTACGATTTGTCAAATAGATTTGGTCACGGTTATAAAATTTCAACTTTGGCTAGTATTTACACAGCAGAAGCAAAAGCTATATTTTTAGCATTAGAATACATAGAAAAACAGGTACTATATTCGAAATGGATTATAATTACAGATAGTATGAGTGTTCTTATGGCATTAAAAAATAACACATTCATTTCATCATCAAACTACTTAATTCAAGAAATTCGTAATAAATATTATCATCTCTGTACTATATATGGAAAAGATATTATCTTCATCTGGACCCCTTCACATATTGGAGTGTTTGGGAATGAACAAGTAGACACTTTGGCTAAAATTATTAATTCAAGTGCTGCTCGTGTTCAAGATTTACCCCTTTGTTACTCAGATTGTAGTATTGGAATACATAAAATCGTTACAACTAAATGGGAGGAGCATTGGACTCAAATATTACAGACTAAAGGCAAATGGTACCGCAAAATTAATTGGCGTATTGGAAAACCGTGGTTCTGCAAAGGAAAGGACACAAACAGAAAATTTTACACCAATATTTGTAGATTACGAATCGGCCACGGACATTTCAACGAACACCTGCACCGAATGGGCATGATCGCTTCCCCATCATGCACATGGTGTAACTCAAATACAGCCCAATCTCTACATCACCTTTTTTTTTGATTGCTCTGAATTTGTCATTCAAAGACACATTATGTTTGACGAACTTAGGATTATCTTCAAAAAACCCGAAAATATCCCGCACTCAATCCCGCTTCTCTTAAGATTTCCTTCTTGTTTCAAAGCTATTTTCACTTATATTACTACAACATTCAAGGAGCTATAAGAATACTTTTATTGAATTGCAAGACAATGATTTTTTATAATTATTTATTTTTAATTTGATAAATCCACTGGTTTAAGAAAACTCAAGAAAAGATATTTATGAAAATGTACTTACCGGATTTGACAAATGAAATATTGAAGATTATGACAATAATTGAAGCGACATTAGAAAAATAAAATTCCAGACAAATTATCTTTTTGAAGACTAGGCAGCATGGTCTCCGACCTTAGCCTGTTCCAAACGGAACAAACGTACTAAAAAAAAAAAAAATCATTAATTCAAATATAAATATAACGGATTTTTCTTGGTTATTCTAATTCCATTGCAAATATTTTTATTTATTAGTTGTTTGATTGAATTATTATATTATGACAATGCGGAATGAAGTGTTAGAATTAGAAGCAAAGATCACTAGTCATGAAGCCTATGGAACTTCGTAAGAATTTACATAATGTTACCATTTATATTTTACATCGACATCACATAATGTTCCTCTGTACAAAAGCATATTTAAACCTTGTACACGTCAATATTGAACTAAGAATTTGGTAAATATCTTATATATATCTTAATAAATTGCTATTAAATATTTTTCATTACAGGTATAAGTGGTCTCCTAAAGATTTTGAACTAGGCACAGCCCTTGGACAAGGAAAGTTTGGACATGTGCATATAGCTAGAGAAAAGAAGACTGGGTACTTGGTAGCAATCAAAACATTGTTCAAATCCCAAATAGTTAAATCCAGATGTGAACGTCAAGTGATGAGGGAGATTGAAATACAGTCACATTTGAAGTAAGTATCTAAAAACATTATTATTACTAATATCTATTTATATCCATATTTAACTACTTATAGACATATCTTAATGGATTTATGCTAAATGCTCAATTTCTCAATAGTCAAATTTAGCTTAATAACATTTTTAAATTTTCAAGGCTCAATAAATATTAACAAACTTCAATTAACTGGACTATTGATAAGTTTTAGACTTTCCAATAGAGTATTTACTATATAAATACACTATGTTTAGGGCTTCAGTAGTTTCTTCTCAGCAAAAATGCATTTGGGTCTTATCTAGCTTGTGACCCTCTACATTCCTAATACTATGTAATAATTTTTTTTTTTTAATGATTTGTTAAGTGATTAAGATACAAAGTAGTAATAAATACAGATTTATAATATTAGTAAAGATAATTGGTAAAAATCACAACAGAATTTATATTAACTTGATATATTTTCCATTAATGTGTTAATTGTGATACAGGCACCCAAATATACTCCGCTTGCTGACATGGTTTTATGATGAACGGCGAATTTACTTGGTAGTGGAATTTGCTGCTGGAGGAGAGCTATACAAACATCTAACAAACTCTCCTAAAGGACGCTTTCCCGAATCTAAAGCAGCCAAATACATTTATCAGGTAATTAAAGAAGCCTTTATTTTGCTCTTCATTAAAATTAGCCACTAGTTTACTATTATTATTATATATAGAGTGAAAACTATATTGAAATTGAAAAGACTAGATATTTTAATGTATTATAGTTTTCATTGGACAAAGTAAAAAAGAATATAATTTTATGTATAGGTACATTTTAATTAACTTAAGCAAATGAAATTTAAATAACTAAGTTATAATCAGTTATCTTTGTCTCATTGTATTTTATTATTTATCCTACAATATAGCAGTATCTAGTATCTTCATTAAATAAAAAGATTTTTTCTGAAAAGAATGAAATATTTATGCCTGACAGTATTGTGTTTCAAGGTCAGTGAAACTAAAGTTTATCAGGATCTAAATAATGATGTTTTGTTTTGCTATTAAGAGTAGTTGCAACACTATAAATAGTGTTTCAATACAAGAGTAATGTCTAACCATTAAATTATATAACAAAAATAGTTTTGTTTGTCTATTATATCCATATGTATAAAAATGGATAAATGAATAAAATTTACACTATATTTCACAAATTCTGTTAGTAGTTAATATAACTATTTTATTGTAGGTTGCAGATGCAGTTGAGTATTGTCATCAAAATCATGTTATCCATCGTGACATAAAACCAGAAAATATCTTGGTTGATTTCAGTGGTGATCTGAAACTAGCAGATTTTGGCTGGTCTGTGCATGCCCCCTCACAGAGGTATTTCTTTCAATATATTTGACAATAATGTTTAAAGTTTAAATATCTTATTCTATCAGTTTTCACTGTAGAAAAACTATCAAGTAAGCTCTCTAAAATTAAAATTAACCTATTACTTATAATTGGTATTTATTAACTACCAAATTAATTTAATGTGAAAGTTATATTAAAAGCATGATTATCCTAAATCCTTTTTTTATTAACATAACTTGCCTGCACATATTAATGTTACTTTCTAGACGTAAAACAATGTGTGGTACTTTGGACTACTTGCCACCAGAGATGATAAAACGCGAAGTCTATGATGTCTCAGTAGACCACTGGTGCATTGGAGTATTACTATATGAGTTCCTAGTTGGTAAACCACCATTTGAGAGTGAAGGTCAGGACAAGACATATGCAAGAATTCTAGCTTTAGACATGGTATATCCAGAACATGTACCTGAAGGAGCTAAAGATCTTATATCGAAGGTAAGAATAATAATAATATTATAATAAAAAGCATGCCATAAGTTTATCAGACTTTATTCACAAAACACTATCCCCTTATTTCAGCTTTTACGTCATTCAAGTAAAGAGAGAATATCTTTGGACGCAGTCAAGAAACATTACTGGGTACAACAATTTAAAAATGGATCATAATGCTAAGTCTGCAATGTTAATATTAATTTTTAATTATTATACAGTAATCCCGCCTATAACACGGTAGATTCGTTCCGTGTTGTAGGAATATTTTTGTATAACACGCTTGTATGACCCCATATAACGCATTATGTATATGAATCACGTTTAACTTTTCTTGTTAAATGGGATTTTAAATCAAATATTAAGAAAAAAACTATGTTATGAACGAAATACGTGTTTATGAAAATCAAACTAAGAATATTTTAAATAAAAAACTTATGCATATGTAATTAAAAAACGATTAATTTCTAATAAATTAACAGTTTTATTACCTTTTTATTCCCTGTCAGAGCTATCTGAAATAACGTTCTACCGACATCTTTTTTTAATAGATAGTTCAATCCCCGCGTTATATGGAGAAATACCCATGTTAGACAAGGGATAAAAATCGCGTAATATGAAAACGCGTTTTGAGAGTACCGTGTTATAGGGGGTGTTAGTGTTCTAACTATATTTTACTTTATTTAAATTTTATGAATAAAAGATATGTTGACAGCTAGAAAAAGTATGATTTTTATTTTTTATTAAATTCACATTATTATAAGTAAGAAAATAGTTTTCATGTGTTAACAAGGAGGATTACTGTACTTAATCATATCAATAAAAATATTTTGAAGAGTTAATAACTGTTTATTCAACCAATCATTAACATCATAAGCTATAACCATAATTCTGTATCCACTTTAAACCAGCTTTAGTATTTCCCAGTGGTTTATATTCTAAACCAACCCAGTCATCATAGCCAGCTTCCCTGATGACTTGCAGTATATATTCATAGTTCACTTCTCCAGCTGAATCTGGTTCATTGCGATTTGGTACTTGTGCTATCTGTAAAAATACACCATAAAAAATAGGTAAAATAAACTTTCTCTATTTCATATTGGATCTAAGTATAGTGAAGATCTACTTAATAAAACTAGCACACTAAATACTAACACGTAGTATTACTTAGTATTTACTGACATAACATACACCTTTATTTTTTTTTGTAAGTAATCAGAGGATTTTTTATTTTAATTCACCAGAGGGAGACTTTGTGCAAAAGTCGATTGCTTGGGTACCTCTGTCCCATTCATGTTTCTACCGTGAAGCAGTTGTGTTTGCATAGCTGTGTTTCGGTTTGAAGGGTGGGATATGGCGTGAATTTACAGGGTACAGAGGCATATCACCTGAGTCCTCAGGAATGGCAACACATGGGGGGTATCATTGGCAAAACAGTATACTCTGTTGTTCATGGTACTGCTCATGTCTATAGGCGACAGTTACTACTTTCCCTCAGGTGGGTCGTCAGCTTATCATTCTAAGTTGTATAAAAAAAAATCTTTTGGTTATTTGATTAAAATTATTTTCTTTATTATCATATTTATCTGTTTCTAACTAATAAAAAATATTATTGTTATTACTATTATTCACTCAGTGGTACAAATAAGTCTGATTTCTAAGGTAGGTAATAAAAAGCCTTATAGGGCATAAAACGCAGGACTTATAAATAAGTAATTTATAAATTAAAACAAATATATAAGAAATAAATGTACCTGAACATGACCAACATAAGGCATTAGTTTCTTGATATTGTACGTCAAATCACCCGCAATATGCTGCAAGTGAAAGATGTCCAATTGCAGCCTTATATATGGACTATTAATCCGCTTTATCAAATCAACAGCTAGAAATAAATTTATAATAAATACCAACAGGTCAAATAATTTAAAAGGTTAAAACAATAAATATAAAGAATATGACTATTGTTTATCGTTTGCGCTGTCATGTATGCAGTGTTATCGTGTTACTGATTAGCGTCATCTCCAAGTTTCATTTTCGAGGACTTATCGTTTTCTAATTTTATTATCATTGTAATAAATTTTATATATATAACTACTACTTAATTTTTTAATTACTGAAAGTATCACATTCTTTTATATTGTTATTGAATATAGGATTCAATAAAATTTTAAAAATATAATAATATCAAAATATACTCTCATAAGTTATCAATGTCTCTTTATGAAAACTTATTTAGTTACGTTTAATCAAACAAACAATAAAAATTTTTCTTACCTCTATCAAAATCACTTAAGAAATATTTAGGCACAGAATATTGATTGATTGGTTCTATTACACCAACAATATTTTCTTTCTTCAGTTCTTCTGCAGCATATCTTAAATTATTCTCAAAGATTTCCCAATTTTTAGCAGTAGCATTTTCTAACCTTCCAGCCATAATGTGTAATTTTCTTGCACCCACAGCCTTTGCATAGTTGATTGTCTCTCTTAGGTTTTCTCTAAAAATGGCTTCTTTGTCAGGTATTGCAGTTACACCCAACTCGCCTTTACTTAGATCTCCTGAAATTAGAGAATTTTAGTATTTATTAATTTTAATTCATCCAGTTTGGGCACCAAGACACTTTATAGGAAACTATTTTGAGATGTCTAAAATCACTTAGCATAAAACTTCTAACTAATTTTATATGTATTGTACAATCTCTGTGTCAATTTTTATTATAGGTTTTAATTAGATTTTTTTTACTAAGGATGCAAAGTCATTGTAAACATAAATAATAAGTACCTATTATACGGACTTACCTAAAAATAATTATGTACTCAAATTATGAAGAACCCTACATAAATTATACTAAATTAATAATATTATTTGCTTTTTTCTTCCCTTATGGTCTCAGCATAGAATAGGCCACCCCTTCCTTACCCGTGAGTGTTGTAAGAGGCGACTAAGGAAGGGCGCGAGGGATGGGCAGCAGAATCCCTCTTAAAATATTTCCAAAGCCTAGCTGCGGTTACCAATCCTCCTGCCAAGCGTGGCAACTACTGGCAAAACTCCCCTAGGGAGAGGCTGATATGATGATGATGAATATTATTTTAAAAAAAGTTAATATGGGTACACTTACGTGTACCTATCACATTGTCTTTTTAAATAAAGTAGAAAGGTACGTACCTGTTTTAAGGTTTATCAATATTTGTTGAACTCCAGCACTTTCCTTAGCTGCTCTAACTTCTTCAAGCGTATGACCTAATGGGAATCCGCTTTCAACCGCTTTAAAACCAGCGTCCTTTGCCAAAGCATATCTCTCTAATATAGTCTTTCCTTCCGTAAACATAAAAGAAAGATTAGCACAAAACTTCATTTTTCGTATTAAACCACCCACTATAAGGTTAAAAAGACTACTGGGCATTAATACAGTTAAATATCGTATTTATAATATTTGGGAAGTGTCTATCGAAACCAACCAAAATATTCACTATTTATTGAATAACATAACCTTATCGTAACAAAAATAAACACAGAGACCGCACACTGATAACTTGACACCTTATCATCGCCAGTTCACCACAAGATAACATTGTTGGTTCACACAGAGTAACTTTAGCGGTGTCTGTCATTTTTATTTCTATTTCAAATTATCTGTCATCGCTGTCTATAGGCCTCCGCGATCAACATGGTTCATCAAATATAGTCTTTAATATACTTTTTGGCTGATGGCTTTCGCCAAAGTCACAATAAATAAAAAAAAAAAGTCTTTGATATTTATTTCATAAAGTCGCTGTAGGAAAGAATCCGTACATTCGTACATTTTTTTAATTGATAGTTGTTAAAAAGACCTTGATATTTCGAAACAATTATCTATATAAAGCCATCACTTAATGTAATTTATTTTGTTTTAATGTGGCAAGATATTCGATCAGTTCGCCACACAGTCTTGATATTGACCTAGAAGTTTTACCAAAAAAAATTCTTCAGTATGTGATCTTTGACTCTGATGACCTATTGTGTAACGGAACGACGAACCGATTACACCATAATATATAACAATTACAAATTATAAATAAGTACACTTGTTTTTTATGTATGAAATTAATTTTTATGGTTTTGTTTATGTAAGATATAAATATAGGGATGTTCATGCCCTATACCTACTACTTGTATGCCAGGTTGCATGATAATTAGTAGAGCAATTAAAACGCAAAAAGTATTATTATTATTGAAAGACGGGCTTTTTCAGACAGAAAAACCTGTGGCATTGCAACTTTTCCATTATTTTTTTTTTACTTACCCTTTCCTAAAGTTCGCTACTAATTCCTATCAGTGATAAGAATTTTAAGATGTTTTATCATCTCGGGATATAAAGTGTATATACCAAAAAGATATATCGTTTATATATAAGTGAGCTACGCTACAAATCAAGTGCTGTGGCGTTACTTCTTCATTGTTACAAAAACTGCAAACACTTTTTAGCCATAAACCTAATTGGACCATGTGCTTATTTGCAGTATTCACTGAGAGCCCTTATTGATACACATATTATTTTTACTCAAAGTAATTATTTTTTTAGAGTAGTTTTCTAAAACCCCTTACTTATGGCTTGCTATTATTTGCTACTTCTAACTTTTCATGTTTGAGGTGTCTAAACTTTAGGTTTCATGGCATGCTACAAGGTTCAGCTTAAGGTTCTGGTTCTGTTTGGGCATTCTTTGCCCTTTCCTTTGTTAGTTGGTCAGCTGTTTCATTTCCATGAATGTTTAAGTGACCAGGGATCCATCTCAAGATAATGTTATTTCTGCTGCCCAAGTCATTTAATAACATTATGTAATTTTTTTTATAAAACTTCTAATTTATTTTAACTCATTTCGTATGAGTCAAGTGCAAGTAATGCTACTTGACTATCTGAGTACTTAAATAAGTACAGTCAAACCTAAGTGAGTGAGAACTGAGTATGCAAGAAAACTATTAATAGAGAGTATTTACCAAGTCCCGTCTTTTTGCCTTCCTAAAACCTCTATTAGTTATGTACATAAACCTGTATTAATAACCTGTGTATAAAACTAATTTTTCATACGCGAAGATCTTAGTGAAATTGCTTCTTTTTATTCTTTGCTTATACCTCTATAACCGATAGTTAAACCTATGACGATATCGGTTAAAACTGTGTGAGCACGTGTACTGATGGAAATGACAATGAAGATGACACCAGCCAATCACTATTTTAAATAGAGAAGCGGAAACAAATAAAATTTTTTTTTTCCGAATACGCACATATTAGCCATATTTTTATAGGCTTCTATAAGTGAGATAGACCCTCTCCTATAACTCTGTGAGCTAGAAACTCAGTTTAATGAGAAACCTTTACAAAAGAAAAAGAGATCACGGTCCTTTGAGCTCTGACTTATGCAGGTTTAACTGTATATTATTATTTATGTAGCCAAAAAATAACAAACAGATTTATATTGATATTCATGGTACTGTATTTGTTTGTCTATAGACAACAGTTAGCACTTTCCCGTAGATGAACTTGAAAATTATTGTATAAAAAACCTACCAGGAATAAATAATAAACATTATATAATTGTTGTAATATTTTATATACAGAAAATAAAAATCGATGTTATTTATTAGATGTTCTTTATAAAATACTTAGTTTATTTTATAAGGTCTAACGGAAAAGACATAGGAACCCTAAATTAATCTTAATTGCTATTGTAGTAAGAGTATTTGTAAAACTGAACCATTCCTCAAGAAACAATGGTCAAAATAAATTTCAGAAACTTTTACAAAATAACGCACACATTACACGTTACATTACACACGATTTAGTTATGAAAGATTAATTTATTTTAACGTGGATGTAATAAATTTTAAAGTTCTTTGAAATAATTGTTCAGGTTTATAAATACTATCGCTGGATTCTAAATTTTTATACCCTTTCCGTTACATCCTATATAACAAAATGGTACCAAAACGAAAATAATAAAATATTTAAACAAATGTCAACTATCATAAACCTCACAAATGTAAAGTTGCTCGTCAACAATACCAGTTTATAATTAAAATTCTAATACAAGTCATTATTAAACATTCAAACAACTAAATAATCATACTACCGTAAATATTTACAATCGATGTAACATTAAATTAAAGAATGGCCACTTTTATATTGGGCTAACATCTAAAGGTGGAATTAGGGTAAAAAATTATAGAGCCTGGAAAAAGAACAAGAACATGGACTTTGATAAGGTATAAAAATAAAAGAGCAAAAGAGGTTAAGTAAAAAATTAATGCCAGTTCATAAAGTAAGGACAAATACCGAACGTTTTTTAATCTAGCTCCACCTTAAAATGAAGAAATGAAAAATAAAATGAAACGACCACAATCAATAATATTAACTTACATATGTCTATAAATATGCTTATATTATACTTACTCAAGCAATGCATATTTAATATAATTATCATAAATGCTGACAAATGCATATGCTGGCAGTACGCAGTCTTATCGACAAGAGGTATTTACGGTTTATAATTAAATTCATATACCTAAATATGATTTTTGATATTAACACAGCCATATTTTATAATATTGTTAGGTTATAACTAGTTGTAGCAATTAATTAAATATTAAAATATAAAATTAATATCTTATTTCATAATTTGTGGACAGTTCTTATCTTACTAAAAAGATGTGTATAATTTGAGCAGACTGTGCCAATACCCTGTAACAATCGAACTTATTGTTCAAACTCTAATGGCAACCAAATATGATAAGTCTAACTGTAAGGGATATGAATATTAATTATCATAGAAAGGAAAGGACTAGTTAGACCATTAATTGCTTTTCATACTTAATTTTACTTCCCTTTGGCACTTTTACGTACAGTCGATATCAAAAATCAATGAACATAGATTTCCAAAACCCCTAAATATAGTTGCATATATAAAAATTGTTTAAAAATAAAATATAAAGTAAAGATCAAAATTAGCTAACTATGCAACGCCTTAGGTAAGTATGTATATGACGATGTATAGGGGTCTTGAAATTTTTAATCTTTATCGACTACTGGGTGTGAACTGTACATAGGAGTTGTAGACTGCGCTTCACGATTTCTTTTCATACTTTTGGATTTGGACTAAATAATAAAATTGTTCATAATGATGTCATCAGTTTCCTTCGTTAGTCATCTTATTTATCTAAAGAGAATTTTTAAACTGAAATAATTAAATTCAGCTCAAAAAGTCTTTCCATGCTATCGTCACTTGACACTTATAAAAACCTCTGATGAGAAGTTTGGTCGAAGAACGTGTTATATCGCCGTTTGCAATTAACAGGAAATTTGCAATTAATTTTCAGTCAGCTATTGTGCTAAAATCAAGGAAAACAATATCCGACTACGTCAAGGATTTTTTAAATTTAAATATTGAACAATTGTAATAATATTCGAATGTAGGTATATTCTTCTACTGTAATATTGTAAGCAACGATATTGCGTTCAGTCCAGTTAATCTAAATAATATCGTTTCTTAAAAAGTAACAGTTATACTATAATTTATTGGTTTTCTACCACTCGACTAGTCGCAGAGATACAGGAGATTTAGGCGACAGTAGGAAATCAAATTGTATGTCTAATTCGCCGTCGAACTGCACCTTCCATCGCTGCATAATCTGCACAAAATAATTTAGTACGTAAATGATATGTTTAACATTGAATAAATAGGTGGTTATCATGGTATCACCTGTACGAAAATAATTCTATGGAACATCGATAACATAAAAATTTTTCTTATATTATTCGCGGATAACACAAGTTTTGTCAATTTTCAATTCAGTAGCTCCAAAGTCCCTTACATACTTAATCTTATCCCAAGTTCCTTACTTTTACCCCAATTTCAACCTGTAGATATTATTTTCTGAATTATTAATATCAATAATTCAGAAAAACTTCAGCTATCTAAGCAATTTTAAATAATGTCAAGTTCAAAATATAATAATAATCTCTTTATTACGCACAATAGAGATGTAGGTATACAAAGAGTATTTATACAGAATATGTATATACAAAAGGCAGCCTTATCACTAAAAGATTGCTTTTACAGGTAACCTGATTTCCATTTCAACTTGCGACCCTGTTTAACTTCTTTAAAAGATGAAATTACTAAGCCAATATCGTCATTAACTATTAAAGTGTTATAATAATTATAAATTGAACCTTGGCAAGAAGTAAGTGTAATTCCAGCTCAACAAATCTCTTCCCGGGGCACATTCTTCGTCCTCTACCGAAAGGTGCCACTAAAGAGGCGGCATGAGGCTCACGCGTACGTAACCACCTTTCTGGTAGATATTCTGTCGCTCTCCAAAAATTCTCCTCGCGTCGGCAAGCTGCCCCCGTATGAGCTAGTACAAATGTCTGTAAAAAGTACGTATAATATAATAACTATGTAAATATAATAACTATGTATAAGGGGAAAGGGATTGTTAGCAAAGGAGTTTAATAGCCCCATTGCTAGCAATATGCCTTATTAGGTCGACCTCCACGTGGTTCCCCCTAGAAACCATCATAAACAATTCTTATTGAATTTGTTACGATGGTCTAACTGACCTGCTTCATCCTCACCTATCATCCATCACTGGTGCCCCACCGGTGTATACCGATAGCGCGGGTGGGGTTACCATTCCATTATCACCCATTAAAAAAAAATAACCATGTATAAAAAGTACCTACCTACTTATGCCTTTAAAACATATATTAACCATTTTTCAACCGACTTCAAAAATAAGGAAGTTCTCAATTAAATCTTTTTTGTGTGCAAGTACGTATGTAACTCAGTATCTTTGCCAATTCTGCACTGATCTTGATGATTATTTTTGCAACCTATAGTGTTGTCCCGTACACATCGAAGACCTTCAATGTCCTCTTTGGTTTAAAACTGACCACAATACAGGTTTCCGATGTCATTTTTTATTACAACTTACTATGTGTGATACTGAGAAATCATAATATACATTTTTGCTCATTCCCTTTTCGTAGGCGTTCTAACCATGCTATTACCGATTGTGCCATAATATATTTTAAAATTCGTAATTTTTAAATTCCTATATTAATTATTCCGATATGTTTATAAAACTAATCACATTGTCTTATGATGAATGCCTTAATTAGAAATTAATCATCATAATTTTCATCATCATGTCAGATGTTACTGACCATTGCTAAACATAGGCCTCTCCTATAGACTGTCATAAAGAACAATACCGAGCCACCTGCATCCATTCACACTCTATAATGTCTTGCAACTAAAAATTAAAAATACGAAATTAATAAAACTCATGGTACTTTTCTATAAACTGCGATGAGCCGTCAGCTTGTTATTCTATGATCCATAAAAAAAAAATTAATTACCCCAGCCGGCAATCTGTGCCCGGAAATAGTCATTGGCACATCTAGAAGTCTCGCTAGAAATGGTGCAGTAGGTAACAATCTGAAAGCTTCATAGGTAGCAGCTCGGATAGCCGGCGCGGCGGCCATCTCCTCAGCACGGAGCACCTCGCAATTAGGCAACTCTGAGCGGATCTTCTGTTGCCAATCCAGCCGACCACTTAATAGGTACAAGAGGAACACTAGACTGTTTGCCAACTGCAAGCAAGATGATTAAATTATCTTTACAAGTGACTAATATTAAGTACCTACTATATTTATATCAGTAGTAACAAAAATAATAAAAGTATACCTTGGTTTAAATATTATAAAACAAATATTAAATCACCTTAGGCTCCATTTTTAATTGTTTAATGCTCTAAATTCTAAGACAAATAATACGTATAATATTTTATAACAGTCGTCATATCGTGATTCCTGCTTTAAATAAAAAAAAGAAAATTTCCTTTTGACGTAGAAGCACTTACATAGAATCAACATTGAGACCAAGCTTCGCTTGACAATTATATTTATAAGACAAGTAATCTTGTCTCTAATATAGAATATATATAATAGTTTTCGAACTACTACATCAATTACGTCGTAAAAATATAGAAGCACTTTTGCACGATCTAATACCTTCTCTTAATAACTCTAAGATCTAAATTACTTAAATCGTAGTGTAAAAAAAGACATTGTCACATTACATTTCATCACATTACATCAAAAATAAACATTTGGAGAGAGATAAAAGTACTATTTACCGTTTCAATGCCAGCCGTAACAAAGTCTATGACGGCGGCTTTCTTATCCCGCATATCAAGCGAGGGATTCTCCAGTATCTTCATAAATATTTCCTGCATACCATCGTCCTGCGCCGTTCCTTGCATCCGCATCGTTGCTTCCTCCATTAGATCTGATACTATCCTGTCGAATATTCGCATACCTAAAGCGAACTATACTCCTATTTGATTATTAATTACTACATAATATAAAATCCTCTCGCAATTCATCACTACTATAAAAAACAAAAAATACTGATTTCGTTTAAACATATTCTAAACGCGTATTTCTGTATTTTGACATGACCTAAATTATATTTATATAGGTTGAAAAAAAATCTGACAACTCGATCCATTGAAATTCCAACACATCTCTCCAGGCAGAGTGTGTTCTCCATTACATTATGGAAGAAATACTATCATTGAGTATATGGGCTCAAATCCCATCAAATCAAGTTGTAGAATGTAAATTTTTTAACGGATTTAACCTAAATTTCCATCGGTACGTTGATTACTTATTTATTAAATATGTATGTGTATGAAAATATATTATCGCTAAGGTACTGAGAGTACTGGTAGTAATTACATTTCTGATAAAAATTTTAAGATTATCATTTGTGCCCTTTCCATTTTAAAGATTTTATTCAGAATATTAATTACATTGTCCACTTCTGAGCACACATATGTTCCACATATAAATAAAGTGTCATTAATACCAAAAACAATTATGCAAATGGTAAAAAATTTAAGTTAGTTACAAACCACTTGATCTCAGACTTAATAATAGTTTTCATTATTTGTGCGATGACTTATTCATTCCATTTGTTTTTCCTTTTATCTCATTTTTCTTTATTTATCTTTATATATGCCATGTTTAAAGAGGTAAAAACCTACCTATTACCTAAGTATCACTGTATGCGTAAAAATCATAAAAGTTTTTATCACAATTTGGGTGGTTTCAACGTATCCAGATTGTTATCGCTGTCGTTGAACTTGCAGATATTATTTATGGAGTCAATGCTCTTTTATTTTTCTCAGACTTGTTATCAACAAAATGTCGTGTAGGTATATTAGTATAAGTAGGTTCTAAGAACGCTTGCATACAGCCATTTTTTCATGGGGTGAAAATGGAATAATAAATCCGCTTGCTCTATCAGTCTGTCAGTTGGCCATTCGTGGCTTACTAGGAATTAACCACGATAGTTTTCATTTCAGAAGGCACCCCATAAAAGTCGACCCATAGCTAATAATGGAACTACTAGTCTCCATTACTAACAATTTCCTCTTATATATAGCAATTTATCTAGATTATATATTCACCGTGTGGTCCCGGCATAGAATAAGCCACGCCTTATGTACCCGTGAGTATCGTAAGAGGCAGTAGCAATAAACAACGTTTTTCCAAAGAAGAAATATCTCATTATACACAGCTACAAGTATTTTACGGTATTTTTAGAAAGATATTTACTAAAATTTTGGAATAACTTTATTATTAAAGGAATGCAAATAGCACTGAAATGCATACTGATTAATAAAAAATATATATAATGGCATAGCGTAGCAGACTATTGTAAATTCAAACATTTTTCTTTTTTAGTTTTAGATAAATCTTTAACGAAACAAGTAACCATAATCTCTCATATTTATTTCATAGCTGGTAGAGAATGCATTATGGCATTAAGCTTGCCACTTGTACAAAGTTTTATTGTGCAATAATAAGTAAATAAATATTATAAAAAGAACTCGTGTTTAGCTAGTCATATGCATGCCTCGTGATACGTATTCATCGACAACCATATCAGCTGTGTACGATTGACCTGTGTTGTAACATACTTCATATCGACCTGAAAGGGAAAAAATTCAAATCTACTGCCATTTTTATACTACATCACAATAACCATTTAAAACTTTATTACTGAGTACGAATCTCTTTTCATTACAGGAGAATATTAGCTCATTATTACTCTAAGAAATTAATCCTTTTGAGTAAAAATATATTAATATGTGTGTTAATAAGGGCTCTTACTGAACACTGCAAATTAAACACACATATGGCCCAACTAGGCTTATGCCGAAAAAGTGTTTGCAGATTTTGTCACAGTGAAGAAGAAACTCCGCAGCACTTAATCTGTGGTTGTAGTTCACTCATACATAAACGATACATTTCCTATGGAAAACACACTTTATATCCTGGGGAGATAAAAAAATCATTGCTACAAAAAAAAATCTTACAATTCCTATCATTGATAGGAATTACGGAGAATTTTAAAAAAGGATGAGCACAAAGGAATTTGGAAAGGTCGCAGTGTCACAGGATTTTCTGCCTGAAAATTGCCCGTCTTTTAATAATAATAACCCTATATTATCACGATGAATAGACAGTTTGGTATTGAATTTTACTTCGAGTATTCCTTCTTTTGCACTGGTGCAGATAATGTTTCTTTATATACCTCTTAAGACATTTTAGAAATGCGTGTTAAGCAGGTTTGGGTGTCCTAGATTGTGCTTCCAGATTCATTGAGGATCAGGTGATTGTATGACTCATTTATTACTTATAAGTTTATTACTATATATTTATTTTATATATTACATCTATTACTCCTGTAGACGGGACGAGAACCTCAAATCATTTACAGGGAATTAGTGATGCAGATGGATTACAATCATTATAGAAGAATTCTATGCTCAGCAGTGGACAATAAATGACTGAAATGATATTAATGATTCTTACTGTATTACCACACAGTCTTGATAATGTTAGGAAGTCTTTTCCTCTACCAGTAACGAAATGTAACAAAATTTGAATACTATGTACACGTATTTAGCAGATATAATATTTTTAACTCACGTGTGAATTGTTTCCTCACTCCTAACAAATGTTTTGTACAGTTTGGTCGGCGCGAACTTCCACAGTGGAGCACCGTAGTAGGAGTCCCTCTGTGCCCTGAAATGGGCCTTGACAGCTGTAGCCAGGGTCGCTGCTCTATCCGACATACACCGCTCTAAAAATCCCAAACGAGATCCCAGCATCAAACCGCAGACAGCTGTGAAGTAATAAATAATTCTTACTAATATTGTAAGTGAGAGAATGTCATAATTAAGCGTATTATAATATTATATGTGTAATTAATTTTATGTATGTTTGATAAACAATAGCTTTATTGATTCTGGACCAAATTTTATGATTACTTTTTTAATAGAAGAAGTTTACTTGTATGTTAGTTTTGTAATAATTTTATTAAGATTCAAATGTGTTTATAGTAGACAAAAATCATAAATTATTCAAAGTAGTACACCTGTTTAACGGATTTAGAATTAGCCGGCGTTTTGGCACGCACGTTGGTAAACATGAAACACTACGTTATGTTTACCACTTGTCAAATTCTCATCCGTGAGTTTTAAAATAAATGGCTAAATACCGGCGACGTTTCCCACGTGAACCAAGATAAAAAATATCCACCTATGTTTTAATCTAGAATATAGGGGGAAAAGGATTGTTAGCAATGAAGTTTGACAGCCCCATTGCTAGCAATATACCTTATTAGGTCGACGTTTCCCATCGTGGACGTCACGAAGATAAAAATATATCCACCTATGTTTTAAAAAAATCTAGAATATAAACTATCGGTGTACCAACATCATAATCTGTACGAGAAAATCCATTTTACACGTACCTATACTATTAACAGATGATGAATGATAAGAGAAACAACCAACATCTGAAGGCCAGTTAAAATATTTATCCAACAAATAAAAGAACTTCATTTTCAAAATTGCTGCGACCAATAGTAAACGAATCTGGAAATTAATTTCTCAGTACGCTTGATCCTGAATATCATCACGTCATTCTTATTTCCTTATCGTATTACAATATGAAAATTAGGTAATAAACAAATAAATCTCTCTGTATCATCAACTCATAATATTCATAAAATTTAGAATATCACATACAGGTTTGACATGGAAGAAGAATATTTTAGTTAATTTTAAACTTTCGCATTGTTTACAAACTTATATTGTTTGTTGTTTTGATACGTCTGCAATAAAGAAGCGAATATGTAGGTACTATTTACCTGTAAAGGCTTTTACATCGCGTTAAGTCCCAATTGTGTATTTAAAATAAGAATAGTATAGCCTACTTTCTAACCTAGATACATGGACGAAATCGCAGATTCAGCTCGTATGATGTTTACTTCTAATTAGCTATTTTCGGAGTATTTTTAGCAATATATAATTCGATATTATCAATAATTAGTTCTAATAGTGAACTTGTATCAGCAACTTTAACCTATTTACTCATAAAGACAAAACTTCCGGCCATCGGTTGATAAGCAATTTAGTTATGATGCACTCCAAGCATTTCTAATGGCAAATATCTACATAGATACCACCCACACACGCGCACCACGTCTGCGCTATTATGAGTATACTTAAGTTATTGCTAGTGTTGTCCAATTGCATTTGAATTCGAATAAAATGATTTTAGTATTGAATTCTTGAAGATTACTAAAAAATAAATATAACGTAGATATTTGTAAATAAATTTAAGATTTTGCTCAGCGACGTAAAAACAGCTTCTTCAATCGTCACAAAATTAAAATGGGACAATACGAAAGTAAAAAAGTTTCCTATATTTATACCCATTTATATATAAGAAAGGTACATTTTTTACATATGAAATCCAAAATTTTCTGTGTCATTTTTTATTTAATGTTTCATTATATAAGTTACCAGCTAAACACATCTCAACGTTTTAATCTCCGATAAAGAGACCTAATCTAATATTAAAATTATAAAAAAAATTAAAGGGAGTATTATTACCTCCCTACATAGCACCTACATTTTTACTTAAATTATACATTATCTATTATTATCTGTTATTTATCTATAAAGATTACATTGTTGCAATTCAATATCTATCTCTGTACTAAATTTCATTATATTCCGTGCGGTTCATAATGTTCAGGTATTCTTTACAGTTTAGCATTATTAGACCTAAAATTTAGTAACATGTTGCAGCACTATTAGTTATCGCTTATCGCATAGAGTTATGTCTGCAATGCCTGACCTATATTTTGTATTATCTTTAACGTCACTTCGCATCATATTCTCGTCATAAAATTATGCGATTTACTGAACACTACAAGAACAATGACGTATTTCATTGCATTTTACAACCGTTTTATATAATCAGTTCAAAAATACCAGATATTTTTATGTGACCTTGTTTACCTCCCAATGATATTGTTAGTTCACATAAATATGTACCTATACCTATTCTCGGACGCCAGACGCGCAATTATCTAACTCGTCAACTTACTAATCAAATTGTTTATTGTGTGTGAACTTACTATTTATTCTATTTCATAAATCTATTTTTTATTATAAATGTAAGAAATAATAGTTTAAAAAAAAAAACGTTTATAATACATAGATAGATACTCTTTATTGTTTCCTTCGAAAGATTACAGTAGTAAATTTATTATAAATCAATTACAAAAAAAGATTACACTGGACGGCCTTATCGCTAAAAGCGATCTCTTCCAATCAACCTTTGGATGGAGAAGAATAATTATAAAAAATTTTATTAGAGACACGAAAGTCTGTTCGTTTTTTTTTATTATTATATCAGCCGTTAACTGTCTACTGCTGAACATAGGCATTCCTTATCAGAGGAGTTTTGCTAGTAGTTGCCACGCTTGGCAGGCAGACTGGCAACTTCAATTAGTCCTTGATGATGTTTTAAGAGGGACGCTGCTGTCCATCCCTCCCAAATGATAATATATAAATGTTCATTTTAACTTACTGATTCATACTTAAATAAATCCATATATATACATAAATACAATTTCATACACGTACATAATATAATTATAAAAATAAATGTAATTTTAGTCCCTAAAATTAATTATACCTATAGAATCGTATCAATTTATTTTTCTAATAAAAAGTCAATTTTAAATAAAGCTAAATATATAAAAAATGGACACATAAAAACCAATTGCAATATATTTATAAAACCAGTATGAATATATTGCAAAACAATTTAAATAGCACTAAAATATCTCTCAATGAAGAGAACTGCGCATAAAAATGTTTATATTAAAGTGTATAATCTCATAATTATCGTAAGTGATTGTAATATATTCACATTCAGCTATAAATATAATATATAGTATATTATATAGCGATAGGAACTGAGGACAGCTCATACTTATGAAATAGGTATTCATACTTCACTCGAAAGATGAAAGGAATAATCAATTACACTATTACAATAAGTCACAGTTCAAATATATATAATATGCAGAATAATAACCCTGAAATTATTTTTATCAGTAATGCCATGCCTACAATCACGTGTACGTACATATAACAGCACAATATTATCTACAACTTTATTGAAAGTAAAATATTATATATATGTAGGTACATTTTTCTCTCAATAAAATCTTAGATAAGTAACTTATATATTTACCATAAATACTGTGATAATTTCCTATGGCAAATTATCGTAATCTCTTATGTAACGACAAATATCAATATACAGTACAAAAAGTATAGGATCTGGAAACTTGAAATTTAATCACTCACCAGTTTCTTTTACAGTAATGCACTAGTATTTTATCAAAAACGCTAACCACCTACTCGATGGAAAATGGCAACCATCGCTTATGAACATAAATATATATATGAATAATATCATGAACATCGCAAAACATAAGTACCTTGCATGCGATAATAAAGAAATATAAAATAATATAAATATTTTATATAAAGAATTTTGAAAATTTTCACGATAGTGGGAGAAGATACGGTATAGTAGGCCACAGTCCAATCACTATATGTAATTGTATTCCTACTGAATGGAAAATAAAACCAAAGCTTTTAGAAAGGGAAAGGTTTCGAGTTGGCAAATTATTACAAAAGTAACATAAAAGAATAACGCAAAAACAACATACAAAACTGTTTGCAAATAAGTTGCAACGAAAGAATTCTCTTACAACACTCATAAAATACAATAGAACATTCTAAGAGAGATTCTATCCGTTCTTCCCCTAAATGTTCTTGTCAAATTTATGTTCTGTAAAAACGTAATAAGGACCATTTTCTTACCAAACAAAAAGTAGAGATATAAAGGAAGAATAATCTGTTTCTCAATAATAAATAAGTTGACTTACACTCCAGTCCCATCCTGTTGGTAAGCTGATCGAAGCCGTGAACAGTCCCGTCAGGTTTTCGACAAGAATGCAGAAGATTTAAGAAGTCGTCACAAATATTGTTCAACTCAGGAATAAAGCCTTGCATTGTGTGAGGACTCGTGAGTTCCGCTGTGAGATTACGACGAAGGTGGTACCATTTCTCTCCTTGCCTATAAAGAGATATATACTGTCTAAAACAGATAATCCTTACTAATACTATAAATGTGAAAGTAAGTTCATTTCTTTATTACCAGTGTCTTAACGGCTTAACCAATCGTCATGAAATTTGCTATACAAATACTATATATTGTTTGGGGGGAAAGGGATTGTTAGTGATGGAGACAGAATCCCATTGCTTGCAATATACCCAACCAGGTCGACCTCCTCACGGTTCCCCCTGGAAACTATCATGGTTAATTCCTGATGAATTCATCATGATAGGCTAACTGATCTGTTTTCATTCTCATCTATCACTCTTCACTGGTGCTCCGCCAGAATATCCCGTTAGCGCAGGCGGGGTTACCATACCATTTTCATCCATAAAAAAATACTATATGTAATAGAGAAGGACTATTATTTATTCCGGCAATCAAGATATCCCGATCGCAAGTTTGTAAATATTTACAATTATTTTAAAACGTATCACATGCAATTGTAAATACCAATATGGAGTATATCAGTATCTGCAGTTCACAATAGTTGTTTGTCTACTTTTTTAAATTAATAAATATATTTTGCACTTAAGTATATATGTATACATATTAGATTATATATACATGTATGCCTTTTAATATATATATTCGCTGTGAGATCTGCTATATTATTTAATGTTAGTATTAAAATCTATTCACTCTTTTATTGTATAATCTATTTATTGTACCTATTATGTACCATAAGACTTTTTATTGATTCCTGTCATTTCTATTAATAAATATTACCACATCGCCTTTTTGTAGGTACTTTAAATTAATTTTAAGTTAGAACTAGAATATAATCGATGAGTCAATATATCCAATCAAAGTGTAAAAAAAACTGGATCCAATTTGTGCCATTACATACAGGAAATGCCATACAACATTGCACAGCTCTAAAAATACTCAACAAGCATTGTTTGGATTTTAAGAGTAGGTAGAATAGGAACCTACGTGACCGGTGATTAGAGCCTTGTCAAAATATTCCGCATAATAATACTACCTACCTATCTATTTTTACACATATTGAATCTGAACAACATTTTGCATGAAAGGTCGAAGGTCGGAATTAAAAAAAATCTTAATGATGATATATACGTCAAAGATCAATAGTCTGGCTATAAATTATATAAAAAAAAAACCAAGCGATCTCGTGATCTTAAAAAAATTGTTTAGTGATTTTAAAAAAGTGTTTCCATAATCTATGTATTCTTAATAATAACTGACCATAAAAAATATGTCCTTCTTTATACAATGTTATTATGACAAACTTCTTGTACTTTCAACACAAGAATCGATTTCTAAAACCTAGACTTAGTATAACGCTTAAAACAGTTATAAATACTCCATATGCTATTACCAGGTGGAAGAACCAATTAAAAAAAAGTCTGACGCATTGATTTTTCATATTGTACGCAAGTATCACAGTTAAAGTTATATTATTATGAAATAATAAAAGTACGATTTGTGTAATAATATTCGTTATTTATAAAATTTAATGTCTCTCGAAAAACTTTTTGAAAAAATTAAACCGTTTTTTTCAAAGCATTTCTAAAGAGATACTCTATCTAGATGTTATTGATCTATCAAAGCCAATTCCTTTTTTTTATCATTATTTTTACAGTTTTGTTATTGTATTTAATTAGTAAATATTGACATTTACTCGTAGCATGTTGTGTTGTAATCATTGCAACACAAATTACATACATTATATATTTTTTCTTATTTGTTAGATACTAAAAATCAACACTGAAGATGAGGATGATTGCTCTTAGTAAATAAGTAACAGTACAAGTACGGGGAAAAAGGAATTGTTAACAATAGGTTCTCAAGGCAATATACCCTATGAGGTCGAACTCTCTAGGTTCCCCCTAAAACTAATAGTGGTTAATTCTTATTGAATCTGTCACGATTAGCCTAATAACCTACGTCCATAAAGATAATTCTATCATCTTCCACTGATACCCCGCCAGCATATACCAATAGCACAGGCGGGATTACCATTCCATTTTCATCTATTAAAAAAAAACAGACTTTAAATAAATAAATGATAGAAACACTAACTCATTAACAAGTCCCGTAGAAGCATATCTGTCTGGTCTACTCCTCCTATAGACCTGCACTATTTCTGTAGGTGGACGGTATGGCCTCTTCGCTGGTGTCCGGAGCACAGCCTCGAGCGCAGCCCGTTCAGCTATTGATACCACAGCGGTGCCCCCTGGCGCTCTTTCCACGAACACCGGCCCGTAACGCCTGAACATGTCTGCGTGCAAATCTCTCATTGTGACAGCGAGGGTATAAACAAAAAAATACTACAATACGACCGATTAATTGTCAAACTTAATTCGTCAGTTTTTAAATATTTTTTATTTGCATTTTTAAAGTACTAAATCAAGTGCAACAATAACGAATAAAAGCAAAGACCAATGTAGATGATGTTACGCAATTATTTCAGTCATCTTTATGTATATTATATTCTTTGTTCTAATCAGAGATATTTTATTTACTTATTACAAATCACATTGGAAATATTATTCTTGCTACCATTAAATGCATTTACTGACAAATCATTTTTAGTGGAAAATTACTTAATTTATGCCAAGTCCATAAATAATAAGCAGAGAAAACTCATGAGAGAGTTATAAAAATTAATCACTCGCTTAATTTTTCAAGCCGACCCATGAATACACACCGGTCCCGTGTCCTTACAAATGGTAGATATACCAACGTTTCAACAACAAATGTCGTTCAATTGGAAAATCCAATACGGGTATAACTGTAAAGCGATACATCAAAACTCATTCTACCTGCATCTCACCTTCGTATGCTTCGTGTAACTTATTCATTTTGTATCTGCTCCAGAAGAGCCATCTTGTGCCTAAGAATGGCAGCGCTGGCGGACCGGGCAGGCAGATGTCTTCCTTAGGATCTACGACCCGAGTTAAGAGGGCTGCGGCGGCCACCAGCAGCGCTGTCACCAACAGAATCAATGTTGGGATCCCCAAGCCGGTCCAATCCGTTAGTGGAGGTGACATCCTCTGTTCAAAAAACATATCTCTAGATTAATACAATTAACAATTTATATTGTAGGTAATACTGAAATAAATAGGCTAAGATATTTATTACTGTAACACTCGAGGGCATAAGCCAGAACATCTAGACCTGAGACAATTTAGGGAAATTCATTTTATAAATTATCACGACCGAGAATCGCCATCGAATCGCGATCGAAACACTGCGCCAACCACTTTATGACGCCCGCATAGAAATTAAGAACCATTACAGTTAATAACGCAATATTTATGAAATGGTAAATAAGTTTACTGCTTCAAAATTTTTAACGTACTCTTAAATCATAAGCAACGTTGTTCTGTAACCATCAAAACGCTTTTGTCTAGAACTTTCCAGAAATAAAAGTTGTTTTAAATAAAAATTTTCCCATCTAAACACAGAATACGATTCTTAGACAGACTTAAAATTTTAAAAGCTGTTACCCATTCAAGTAAAATATTTAAAATTTAAATAAAAACGACGTGTTTGATAGACTTTTCTTTTTTACTTAATAAATTCCAAATGCACTTGAGAAATTACCACATTAGATATTTGACATTTGATTAAAATTTGTTGAGTTGCAGTTAATAACATTAAATATAGGTTACCTTCTTAACTCACTTCTAACTTAGAACCTAGGCTTTTAGTTAATGCCTAGTTGTACCTACATGACATATATAAGACAAAATACAATACCCCTAATAAGTAATAGTAGATAGTTACCAAATCACTACATAGTATAAAACAAAGTCGCTGTCGCTATCTGTCCGTCCCTATGTATGCTTAAATCTTTAAACCTACGCAATGGATTTTGAACCGGTTTTTTTAATAGATAGAGTGATTCAGGAGAAAGGTTATATATATATATATATATATATATATATATATATATATATATATATATATATATATATATATATATATATATATATATAATACATGCATAATATTGTAGAGAAACACTGATAAATTTAGAGGTTTCTAATGTGATGTCGTAAATAAACACATTTTTTTGCGTTTACATTGCAAATGCTGGCTGAACCCCACGATAACCGTGCAAAACTGGTGCAGGTCGCTAGTATTAAATAAACTAATTTAGGAAATATTATCCTAGGTAGACAAAACAATTGTAAATATCAAGTGGATACTTGAGTACTAAAAATGTTTTTTTTTTTAATTGAATATTCACTTTTTGAATAGCGTACAAAACGCTGATTGTACTATATAAACGGTTAGACGACCGGTTTTTATTTAATTACTCATTGATCGATATTGACCCGCTGGATTTGCATGTGCTAAGATTTTGTTTGCGACGCGGTCGTTCACCCGCGAGTCAGCGGCACCGAGGTGACGACGGAGCCAATACGCAATGCCGCTGTTGACTGATGGTAGTGCAGCGCCTTGACATTGGTTTTACGCAACAGACGCACGTTATGTAACGTTATGCGGCACAGCCAGCGGCAACGCAGCTATGAGGCACACGCAACGTCAACGCCCGCTGACTACGCGATAGCATTTATCGGAATTGCGACTGTATTTATTAAGAATTTGCAGATTTTTATAGAGTAATAATGTTAATGTGTCTACGATATCACAATCCAAGGGCATAGACGTAACAATCCACTGCAACTTTTCCTGCACAATACACTCCCTAAGATATTTTCGCCGCGTGGAAGTATTTTATTATAGTTAGATATAATTTACATTTGACTAAGGAATAAATACAAGTGTCTATTAGTGAAAGAATTTTCAGCGTCTGTTTAGTAGGTTCAAGATATAATTAATAGTGATGGGGACAGTGAAAATTGTGATCAGTTAAAGCCTTTTTAAAATTATTAACAATTTTACAGTAAAAGCACGATGATCTTACTAATATAATAAAATTATAACTAAACAATGTCTATATATAAGAGATAATTAAGAAAAAAATATATGAGGAGTCTTAGTAAAAGCAATAGGATATTTTTTAGAAATTTTTAATCTATTTCTTTGGGTTTCGTGTACTTAGCGTACAGTAAAGAAAAAATAGTTGTGAAATATAAAAGTTCAAATTTACCAAAGTTCCATACACACTTTCTACCTCCTTTTTAGCCACGTAGGGATGAATTTTGAAAAGTTTTGTGTTTGGTTTTTGTTTTTATAACTTTAATACATAGTTTTGGATCAAAAACTCAGCCAAAAATTTTCTGTTTATAATAATAATATTAACATAAACAACCAATAGGTATTATTTATATCTGATGGTTACATCAAAGACCTGCCGGATATACAAGTTTTTCTACATACATAACGGGCTCAGAGGATCGCCTTGCTTTGGGTATAACGGAATTTTATTTTCCAAAACCCGTTGCAACTGTAAATGAATACCTCTAAAGCTGCAACATAATAATATAGATAACTATTTGTGCTTATCTTAACAGTTTCAAGTATAGGTATTATTTATATAAGCACATGAAGTACCTACCTACATAAAAATATAATCTAGCTTATTTATTTTTACACCGATATCAGATACGTGAACCTCGTATGCAATTCAGAATAGCATAATATTTAATACCACGTGTAGTAATTAAGTAAATTATAATATGAATTAACATGACATTCTGTGTCAAAAATCTGGGAGCATTAATAGAGAGTATAAATATAGCGTGTATATATAGTTAGAGAGTAAAGATATATGTAGTGACCCCGTACGGGCAAGCGCAGTGTGGGGCGACCCCCCACTAGATGGAATGACGACCTGAAATGCATTGCAGGGAATCAGTGGATGCAGGTGGCTCAAGACCGTTCTTTATAGCAGTCTACGAGGGAGGCTTATGTCCAGCAGTAGACGGATAATGACTGAAATGATAATGAATGATAGATATAGCGTAGCATATACCGTAACCGGAGGGAGACTTTGTACAAAAGTCGATTGCTTGGGTACTTCTGTCCCATTCGTGTTTCAACCGTGAAGCAGTTGTGTTTATATGGCTGTGTTTCGGTTTGAAGGGTGGGATATGGCATGAATTTACAGGGTACAGAGGAATAACATCCGAGTCCTCAGGAATGGCAACGCATGGGGGGTATCATGGGCGAACCAGTATACTCTGTTATGTCCATGGTACCACTTATGTCTATAGGCGACGGTTACCACTTTCCATCAGGTGGGCCATCAGCTTGTTTGCCATTCTAAGTTGTATAAAAAAAAGCATATAACATGGAGAGGTAACATCAACAACTCCCTATATTGGGGGAGTTGTCAGTAGTTGCCACGCGCGGCAGGCAGGTAAGCAAACGCAGTTAGGTTTGTAGATATTTTAAGAGGGACGGATGTTTTAGTCCCCTGTTGCGATACCCACGGAAAAGGAAGGGATGACCTATTCTACTCCGAGACCACACGGGACCAGATCGTGATGTATAAATTAATAAATACCTAATTGATCGGCAATCGCTTAAATGGGTATTTCATAAATTATACGATTTTATAATAGCACGCCCATGATATCGTCATGAATCGACAGAAAATCAAAGAGAAATGCGTAAATTGCACATAAATTTTGCTGTCCTATTAGAATTCTATCTCGTAAAATTGTCTTGTGCCATTTTGTGCCACGATTAATTACACCTAAAATACTATAGTTCAATACATAAGTTTAAATTTAGATCGTAATCAATGATTTTAAAATTATAACTGACAGATTATTTGAGTTATGTATTCATATAATTCAAAAAGAAACCTTATAACTTCATCATTTTTAACTACAACTAACAAATATTAACAGACTAATGTCTGGCCCTCTATTATAACATGATAAATTTCTTTATGAACTTTTATAGGAAAATGAAAAAGCGAACCTAGGGTAACCATAAGGAAACTAGAGTAGGTACACTTTTTTAGAAACCTCCCCACGCTCTAAACTTCTTAAATGTGATTTATATTACAGAATTAATAAAAAATCACGACCATCTTACAATGTAAATAAATATAAATAGTTTATCTTATCTAAAGTAGTTATCGATTTAATTATAACAAGGTTTCTTTTATTCAGGGTTAAATGTGATAAATTAAGTAATTTTAATAGAATTGCACATGAATTACATATTGCGTGTAAATATAAAAAAAATATATTTACACGCAAAATGTAGCATAAAAACATTTGATAATTTTGATAATGGAAGTCAATCTTGTCCACTATATATTTAATCTAAATTAATTAATTTGTAGCTAGAATAAAAATGTAAAAGTTTTTTTTTTTTCTTTTTTAGAAAAAAAAAAACACTTTATTTCTAAAACTTAATTATAATTGAATATACATATGCCAAAAACGTTTACAACATATGGCAAAATTAAAAAGAAAATCATATTATTTAAAATATTTACATTAATACTGCAACAATAGTATACATAACTAACATCGAAATGATAGTCCGGTCAAAAACATTAATTGAAATGTATTTTGTCTCATGACCTAATTAAAGAAGCAGACTACACTTTTTAAATTACACTTGGCATTCATTCATATGCATTCTTTATTAATCAGTCACTTATTTGATTTCCTTTATGGTGTTGTGCAATGTTGTCATTTTGTATAGCTATGGAAAGACCCTAACTCCTTAGACAAGCGATATATGTACCTATTTCATGCATACAATAACGTGTCTATAAACAGATTCTATAACGATATAACTATTTCAAAAATTAAATCATACCACAGACTCCTCTATTAGCAGAATGTAAAGAATTATGAAAGCAAAATATTTTCCTCGCAGTTGGTCCCTATTGCAAATAATGTACATTTTTAGTTTGACCTCCATGTGGATCCACGTGATTTATTTCTAGTGAATTCGTCACAATGGACCAACTCATTTGACTTTATCCTAATCTGTCATTCCTCACAGGTACCACGCCAGCGTAAACCGCTCGCGCAGGCGAGATTACCATGCCTTTATCGTCCATAAAAGAAAAAAAAACTATAAAATGAATATTCAAACAGGTAACATATAA